GGGTAATTGCTCTGGGCAGCAAAGCAAATCATCTGTGTGGGTAAAAATAGGAAGGGAGTTGTGTCTCTGCTGCTGCTTGGACTCCTCTTTCATCCTGAACTTCATCCCAGTGCTATTCAAGGAGGTGCAGATAAAGGACTTTGCAGAGAGCACAGTGGGAGGACGAGTTAAGATGTTTTGTCACCATTACATTGGCTAAAGTATGTGAAATGAAACAAAGCCGTGGTTTGGGTTTTATTTTTGTCCTTTCCCCAGAAGATACTGTTAGCCAACGGGTGAGTGGTTCATTAGAGAAAAGCAGGTGCCATCCAACAGGGCGTGTGGTGGAGCAAGAAGAGTGTCCACAAGTGTATGGAGAACCTGCATGGCTGTTAACTGGGCTAGTAGAGGGGGAGGCTTATTTCAGTGCTTTACATGCAGTACAAACAGAGGTCGTTCATGGAATGCAAAATGGTTGATGGAAATAGCGTGTTGTAACAAGGAAAGAACAGCAGCAACGTGCACACTGCAGGCCTACGCTTGACATAGATGAACTGTTCCGCAAAACAGGAGTAAACCAAAAGCTGCAGTGTTCAGAGGCCTGTATGGTAACATTCCTGCGCTGCCTACTGCTAAGGGTAGTAAGATGAGGAGTAACACAATGCCATTTCTCTCCTTGTAGCATAAATCATAAGTTGGTTTTTTTGCATTTCTTTAGGCAAGACAGCAAGCCCAGCTGCGACATCAGATGGCAGAAGACAGCAAAGCGGAATACTCATCCACTCTACAGAAATTCAACAGTGAGCAGCATGATCATTACTACACGCACATCCCAAACATCTTCCAGGTGAGGGTCACTGCACTGATCGGGAGTAGCTCATGATACTGTGATAAGAACAGACAGGGGTATTGCACATTGGCTCAATTCCACGAGCCTATCTTTTACTTTTTGGTGATTTTTTGTGTTGCTGTGAGCAAATTTTATATGCATTCTGCCAACCCAAGAGATGGAGAGCGTGGTAGGTTAAGTTGTCCTTTTCTTTTAGAGTAGATATCAAGTGATAAATAATATTTGAGGAAGGTGACATTGAATTGTCATGACAGATTACGATAGTCTTTGGAATTGCTCACAGGGTTGCTCTGTTGAACTCTTGTGTCCATGCAGCTGGGGAATGAGAGCATTATTTGCTTTGTTGGGGCAGGAGTCAGCTGGGCATCATTACATCTGTAAAGCCTCACAGTCCTTTAGAACCTGCCTTCAAATCGGACTTTATACAGCTATCACAGCTGTATAAATGGAAACCACAACAGTTCTGCAGGAGTGAATGTCAAAGGGTTTAAGCAAACTCACTGATTATGTCGTAGGGTGCCTAATGAAAGACCACAGAGAGAGAACAAAAAAGCCATCAGATTGGTACAGACTGAAGATGTGAGTTTGTGCTTGACTGAACGAAGAGAGATTAATGGAGTAGAACAGCAGTTCTAAATGACTGTTCCACTGTAATGGGTCATAAGCATCAGAAGTGGAAAATACAACTTCCTTGAAGGGAGAAAATGTCACATGCGTATCTGATGAGAAGTAACTGATATTTGCATAGCAAATACTCATTTTTGTGTCTGGAACTTCTTAGTTAAATGGACACCTTTTTGCTTCGCTTCAAAGCAACGTCTTGAGACAAATTATTCCTGGCATCAGATATAAAATTCTTGCAATATGTTTGTATTTAATGCTAGATCTGTTAAGTGCTCTGAATTGTATATGAGGATGCTGAAAGTACTGCAGAAGTATCCTTTTTGCTACCAGTGCACCAGTAAGCTGTGGTGCTTGCTTTTAGATGTTGAAATAACGAGCTGTTTTGTAAATAATTTGTTGCTTGTGGATTAGTCGAGGCAATGGGGATTTTGAAGTTGATAATGCTCCATAAAATTCCTGCAGTCCAATGTGACCCAGGCAGTTCTTGTTAATGCCCTTCTCTATCCTGGTATAACCTGTCATAATAGTGTTATGCCACGTCCAGTTTCCCTCTGTTGTAAATGAGGCCCGTGGAATAGATGCTGGAGATTGTGGCATTGAATCCATGGAGGAACAGGGAGCACGTGCTGAGAAACCCTGGTGTGAACAATACACGATGTATAGGACTGCCCGCACACCAGAAATGACCTTTAAGGGAAAAGGAGAAGGGGTGACATCAAGATTTTTGTTTGCTGGGATTCTGCAGGGGAATCAGAGTGTAAGATCTTGCAGAACATGTGCAGAAAATGAAATAATTTGTTGCTGCAGAAACTTTCTTAAAAGCCTTAGGAGCCATCCTTACAGAAGTCTAAAGCTGGGGTTTTAACAAATCAGCATTTCTTAACATAAAACTTAATTGAAAAATTCCCAGTAATAGTAACAGAGATTACTTTTGGAATGGCGTTTTGGTGTTTGAGGGAACAATATCACTTGGTGCTTTCATGAGAACAGCTGTCCTAGTTTCTCTGTTCTTTGTAATTTTAAATATATATTTTTTTAAACCATAAGTTTTAAAGCAGCTGATGTATGCTGGAGAGAAAAATTGGTCGAAACTGTGAACTCAATCTTTATATTTGATCTGAATGAACTGCGTGTTTTAGAAAATTCAAGAGATGGAGGAAAGAAGAATCGTGAGGATAGGTGAATCCATGAAAACCTTCGCAGAAGTCGACCGCCAAGTGATCCCTATCATTGGAAAGTGTCTGGATGAAATAACAAAAGCTGCAGAATTAATTGATCACAAGAACGTAAGTGTTGCATTGTTTGGATTGTTCATTGCCGTCTTTAGTATTGATCACTTGTGTGCGGAGACTCAAATCCTGGGCCCAGGTTGCAGCGTGAGGGCTTTCCAGTCACAGAGCTAAAACAAAGAACAGATTCTTGTCCCAACCTACTTTGATCAGAATGTGCCCAGATTGTTTCTCAAATCTACTTAACAGCCAGAAATGCTTCTACTTCCACACTTTCTTTTATTTTTCCTTTTTTTCCCTTTTAGGAGTAGTCTCTCCTTTTGCTGGGATAATTACCTTTGGAAATACTGTAGTTGAAAAATAGGGTTCTGTGTGCAGTAAGGAAGATCACAGACATAATTCCAGATAACTGATAATCACCAGTTCTTACTCAGACGGATTCTATGTCTGATAGAAAAGTGAATGTTGCAGAAATGTCTTCATTCCAGTTACTGCTTAAATAATGGAAGTATTTAAAGTATTGGCTACATAAATTACTGCAAACAACTCTGGCAGGATTTCTGCTTTACTGTAAAATCTTTCTTTGCAGATCTGAGATTTGCTAGCAATCTGTAAATGAGCTCTTACAAATCTTGGTTTCAGAACATTATTGTATGAGGAAAAAGAAACCTTCCTGATAAAAGGCTGATGAAGAGTTCGTTTGAGCTTCCCAATGTACAGTTAGCACAAGGGCAAATGTGTTTTCTATTTTGTTTTCAGAATGATCTGCTCCCTTCATAAATGAAGTCTGCTTGCTCTTTCAGCCCTTCTCATGGATCACATTAGTGCTTCAAATACAAACAGCATGTGTCTCGCTGGCTGCTTGACTTTCCCATGCATCCTTTTCACAGGAACCTTTTCTGAGCTATTCAGTGCCATTAATTGGCAGCATGAGCCTGAGGCTGAAGTTTTGAAATGAATCCACTGCTTTCTGCTCAGCAATTGCTCTCACAGAGAGCAGCGTAGGAAACGAAGGAATCTGAAAATTACCCTTTCGGGGTGGGAGAAGGGAGAGCGGGGCACAGATTCCCGTGTTAGAACAACGTACCCTTCTTAAGGTGATAAGCGATATGTGTGTTCCTGCCCTTCTGTGGCATGCAGGTCCTACCACTTTATAAGGGTGGCCATAGATGCCCACAGTAGCAATTTAAAAGCTGGTTTCTCTATTTCCAGATAACGCGTTGCTTTTGCCACTAACGCAGAGTTTTACAGCAGACTTTTCCCACCTCACACCTTACTGATGTAAGCAGCACGTTTGGGCTCTCTTAGGCTGCCATCAGAAGAGTTTCTCCCTTTCCTCAAAAGATTCAAATTGAAGATTGTTGCCTTTACTCATCTTTTTCAAGCGTGAAAATCTTTGGATAGTAAAGTCAGCTAGATCTGTGCTGTAGTCAGCTTTGAAAATAAGACTGGGTTCTAGGAAAGTGGGCTGCAGGGACAGCTGGTGCTAATATAGCTCGTACAATGGTGAGCAAAAGCAAGAGCCTGCTGAGCAGGAAAAGCTTTGTGTGAAGCTGTGGGCCCACACAGACATGTGTTTTCCAGCTGGGAGGAGATCTCCAGGGTCTGGTAGTCATCAACAAACGTACGGTATTGCTAAACTTGAAATGCATAAGGTCAGGCAGTGTGACACTGACAAAAGGCAGTGATGCTTTTGGAGTTCTTCTTTAGCTCTGGTCATCTTTTTCTACCTAGCTATCACATGCAGAGTTACTGAAGAAGGGAAGAGAGTAAATGAAAGCTCTGCTTTTTGTACAGTAACTTCAGTTCAGAAACCAGAGCTTTAAATGGAGCAACCACAACTAATACAGATGAGGTGTTGGTCAGACAACAATTACAGAGGAAGCACCAGTTCTAGTAATTTACCTTGTGTACCAAACTGTGTAAACTCTAGCTGAAAGGATGCAAAAAAACCTGCAAGTTCTGCAGCTTTTTTTGCTGCCAGCAAAATATTACCAGCTGATGGTAAGGCATCACTGTGTAAAAAGGGAAAACAAAATAAAAGCAGATCTGTGAACTTTGTGTAGCTATCTCAGAGGTTTTTGATAATCAATTTTCAGCTTTGGGTAGGTTTATTCCAAACAGTGGTCTTTGAAGGTTGGGTTCCTGTGGTATCTGTGAAGCACTATGATTTTGGTAAGGAAGGATGCATATCTATAGTGACTTTGAAACTCTGACAGAGCAGACTGCTAAGAAGCTTCAGGGCCAGCTCCGTGATCTTTCCCTCTGTGGATGATAGCAGGATGCTGGAAGAGCACTTTTCTTCCAGGGCCCCAGTTTCATTGGGTAGTGTTAAGAACCAGAATGACATATGATTTAATACTTGCTATATTATCTGCAGCTTAAATATTACAAAGCTCTGCCTCATGCCCACTTGCAAAATGCCGTCTTTGAGGCTTAGTTACTAAATTTACAACTGTGTAAATAGGATTACTTTATGCCCTCACTATAATGTATAGAATTCCTGCTAATAGCAATAGAAACTGCTGGCATTGAGCTGGGAATACTGGTTAGCCCTGTATTTCTAATGCAGTTGTAAAAGCGCTCCTTTTTCATTTCCTCGTAACAACTCGGATGACGCGGAGGTCGCGTTGCAAGGGTGAGCTGTAGTGGCTGCAGGGTGAACCTGTGCAGGACTTGCCTCGGGAGGCTCTAGCAGCAGATAAAATGGATTTGTTACGGACTTTGGAGTTCCTGTTTTGACATTATCTCTGTGATATACTGAGCATGCTGGTTATTTTTAGCTCCATTGTGGTGGAAGGATGTTTTGACTAAATGGGAGGAACACTGTAAAATTAAGAGGGAAAAATGAAAAGCTCCATGCATAGGATTAAATACCAAAAGAATATTTAATGTAACCTTGTGTGTTTGTATGTTTATAGTTCCTTCTCTCTTCCTTCTTCATCTTACTTTGATTATTATTAAAAATCTCCTCAAATGTTTAGATATCAGAAAGTTTTAATGTCAAAGTAGGATGTGATAATGGAAAATGTTGTTCTACCTCCCTAAAAGTTGTGTAGGAATTTCACAGTGCACCTGATGGATTGAGCATCTTAAACCTTCATTTTCTTCCCAATCCCATGAAGACTTTTCAAAGCTTGCCCCATATCTGTGTTTTGCTCAATTGAGCCTGGCCTCTGGATATGTTTATATCCCAGTAGACCTCTCATGTATAATGTTTCACCTACGGACTTAAGCAGAATCTGTGAAATGCCTTCAAAGCGCCAAGTTCATCCCTTTTATCCAAACAGGGTGGTGATGCTCTTCTCTAGACTAATAAGGTATTTGTGTGCTGTGGCAGCTTCTCGAATGATCTAGAAGAAAAGCGTTAGAGCATTGTAACACAAAAAGCTCTCTCCCCAAGAAGTCGAGTAGATAAGTGTGTTAGAATAACTGTTTTCTGAGTCCATTAGATTTAAATGCATTTGGCAAGCTGAAGTCTGAATTTGACCTTATGTATAATTAATTGTGTTTATAGACCTAACTAGGAAAAATGCTGTATATTGTTCTTACTTTATTGTTTTCTGGAGTTCCCAGCCCCTGCCTGCACCAAGCTGTTGGGCTCCTTGCCTGACCTTGGGCTGCTCAGTTGTTGGACAAAGCTCCTAAGAGAAACTCCCCCCATTTACTGAAGCTGGGTTCAGAGGCACCAACTTACCGACTTGCAGCAGTGTGATGGCTCAACAGCTCCTTTATAGAGGAGTATTTATTGGGATTTTCTACTAGTTTGCTTACAGCTGCCCGCCCAGCAATTCTATACTTTAAATGTTTGTCATAAATCTTTGTTACGAGTCACTTATCTGTGCAGTTACTGACGTATGATTGCTTTTCTAGTCCGTAAAGTTAACAGCGATAAGCTCTTAGTCATTTTCACCAGTAGCCATGAAAAAGCGTTTAAAATATGTTTGTATTAGAGTTTTGATTTTTATGTTGGAAATGAAACAAAGAGAATGAAAACATTGCTGGGTTGTGGTCAGACTCAGGGGCTGTGCAGCTCCGTGGAAGGCTGGAATGAGGAGGCCCGAACTTCCACTTCCTAAGCATTATCGTTATTTAAATACAGTGACCTCTGCTTTAATGACAGTTGTATATTTTTTATTTTCCTAAATAGACCGTAGTCCTCTGCTTTTTATTTGTTGGTATTCTGAGTAACGACTGGTCTCGGTGACCTTTGCAAAATGGACCATAAATAACAAGAATAACGGACTAAGTGAGACTAGAACTCACCTGCTTGATTTGCTTAGATTGTTTATTTAGAGATCTGTTACGACACTGAGATCTATGTTAGCAGTTGTAATACATTCTGACTGCCGTAGGTTGGGAACTTTTGTCTTGTGTGGGGTGGTGGTTGTGTTCTCAACTGTGTTTATCGCTGTAATATCTGAGAGCATTACGTTTGACACATCAGTGTCTTGCTTTGGTAGGATACTGTGCTGTGCCGAAGTGCTTTTTTTTGAAGCACATGATGGTAGTGAAAATAGGTCCAAGAAAAGTGCCCAGATCGTGTCTTGATCCTGGGCTCTGGAGGGTGTTCATTCCCCGGGATGAGCCTGGTCACTGTTGGTTCCCATACGCGCCAGCTTGTCCTTGTTCTGTTCTTCCATGCCACCACTTTGATGACAGCCCCCACCTGGGGTGTTCACACTTGTACTGGATCTGTTCCATTTCAGGATTCACAGCTGGTAATAGAAGCCTTTAAATCGGGGTTCGAGCCTCCAGGAGATATTGAATTTGAGGACTTCACGCAGCCGATGAAGCGGACCATCTCCGAATCGAGCCTTTCCAACTCCAGAGGGGATGGGAAGTCTGAGCCGAAGTTTGGTAGCAAGTCCAAGGGCAAGTTATGGCCATTCATCAAGAAAAATAAGGTACTGACTTGCAAAGTTGAGCTTGGTGCTAGTATGTGCATAGTCAGTAACCTCTGTCTTGTCTAGTAGTCTTGGCAATTACAATTTTTTAAAGAGAATTTTAGATTCAGAAAATTAATAACTGATGCCTTAATATGGTGTTTTGTTGTAGTCTTTGGTTACTTAAGTTTTTTTATATCTTTGATTTTTTTTCTTGTATGATTTCTTACGTTGCAGTTTTTATATTAATTTAACTTTAGTTGTCACGTCTTTGCCATGGTCCATTTCTGTTCCTAACTCAGAGAAGGAATTGTGTACCACTTACCTAGTGCCATGTGTGCTAACTAACATTGTTTTGGGAGGCTTTAATGTGGCGTTACTGTTTTGACACTTCTAAAACTCTCCTTGGCTTTTCATTTGCGTTATCTTTTCAGTCTGTACACTGGGTGCAGCAGTTGGGTGGCTGGGAACAAGGAATTGCTGCGGTTCATTCTTAAGCACAACTAATGGAGCAAAACTAACTGAGCAGTTGACTTTTTAAAAGACCATATTAACTTATGTGTCCATTAAACCTTTTTCATCTCACTGTCATATTTTACACCATAATGCATGGCAGCATTTATCTGGGGTTACCACGATGTGTTAGGGTGACGGCTGAACCGGTTTTCAGTAGCACTGATGGAAGCCCAGAGTAGCTTCGTTGTTTCGATCTCACCCTTGCTCTGACCCTTACCAATCACTTTTACTAATTACAAGGTCAACATTTACCTGTTGAAAACGGGTCACTGCTGTTGTGCTGGTGTATGAGAGCTGTCTGGTGCTTACATCAGTGTAGCCAGAAACAAAACCCAGGACTAACTCCTGAGCAAATTAATAGAATAATTTGTGAAAGTGAAGTGTAATGCACGGTACTGAGGTACGGTTTGAAAGCAGGAAGGCATGTGGTTTGTTGTTTTCCAGATAATAGAAACGCTACTGGGCACTAAGGTACCTTCCTTATCTGATCCATTTAAATTCAGGTATTTGAAAGCTCTATCCATGTGCATTATTCTGAGCTGTCCACAGAGCAGAACAGGGCAATTTATGGGGATAGCACTGCATGGAAGAGTCTGCATGAGCTTCCTGTCGTAATACTTTGTGTTACTCTTCTGTTGCATCACTTACTAAAACTTCATTTATCACATTCTTCATTTAACACAACTCTTAAATACTGCTGCTCCCCCTCTTTTGAACCATGGCCTTTAATATTTAATTATTTAATTGGTTTTTTTCTCTGGATTTCAAATATTGGTTTTGATGCTTATTTTCGTTTTGTGTTTTATCTTTTTATTTTGGTTTTTATTCTGTCACTTCTCCATCTCTTATACGTAGCTTATGTCCCTTTTAACATCCCCCCATCAGCCCCCTCCTCCTCCCCCTGCCTCTGCCTCACCCTCTGCTGTTCCCAACGGCCCCCAGTCTCCCAAGCAGCAAAAGGAACCCCTCTCCCATCGCTTCAACGAGTTCATGACCTCCAAACCCAAAATCCACTGCTTCAGGAGCCTAAAGCGCGGGGTAAGTTCTCCTCTGGATACCTCTCTCTCTCTCTTTCTTTCTCTTTTCTTTCTTTCTTGCGCTTTTATTGCACGTTTTGTTATGTAAAATCTTGTTTTGTTTTGTGAATGAATCCATTGTGTTTTATCATAACATGCAGACAAATCCAAGGAATCCCAACCTCTAAAGTCATTTGTAGTCAAAAACCCCACCACGAAACCACAAAAAGTACATCTGCTGATGGGAACTGCCCATCTGGATGATTTGGGGCGAGGAGGGATTGTCCAAAGTATGGAAGGAAGAGCTGAGCATTAAGTAATACTCATGTAGAAGTCGAAGGCATTAATTTCGTAACCCTGTGTGTCTCAATGTCTGTGTCAGAGGAGGAGACTAAATTAGGAGAGGTGCTAGAAGTTCATTCTTCTGGCCTTTCCCTGCAGGGATCTGACACCTCTTGCCGCAGCAGCAGGGAGGTGACTTCCTGTATTTTATGGCTAAGTACGCTCCTGTGTGCGACTTTTGCTCCAGAGACTCGGCCTCAGCTCGTGCTTCAAGTGCCACAGTGTTGGTTTGCTTAGTAAGCTTGGGTCTTGGGATAAGATGAGACATGAAAGATGAACTGATTCTAGGTGATAATGAAGTTATTTACGTGGCACAAGTGTGCTTTAAATGTCAAGTTCCACGTTTCACTTGTCCTTGCAGCCTTCCCTACACACATTAGCATCCAGAATTGAAGGCCAGCACGGCTTTTTCTGGGCATTTCCCATTAAGTCCACAGATTTTGTTGGTTTCTGAGCTCCCTTTCACTTCCCAGTGCTATGACACATACAGTTTAAAATTATATTCTGTGTGCAAAAGCTTTATCAGTGTAGCTTGCAAGCTCCAAACCACAGATGAGATGTTTTGAGTGATTGGGGTTTGGGCTTTTCCACTGCCAGCAGCTGAAGTGCAGTGTGTTAGACACTGGTTTGTGTTGCATGGTGCAAAGAAGCTGAAAGCCTCCATGAGTGGCTTTGGGGGTTCACCTGGGTCTAGATCAAACTGAATGGACATTTTGTGGCACATCACCACTGTTTGAAGTTCAGTGTCCTGTGTCCTTTGCTGCTGACAGAGTGGGAAGCGTGGCCCGAGTTTTCCCAGGTCAGCTGCGCTGTTCCTGTTGCTGCCAGCAGCTGTGGCTGTACTGGTAAACTGGTGTTGGTTTGTGTTTAATTAAGTGCTCTCATTGGTGGTCTTCATAAGCAGTAAGTAAAATGACTCGTCCTTGAGATAAATTTTTCTATTTTTCAACCAAAATAACTTTATCTTTCCAGAAGCTCGCACGTGGCACAGTTGTGCTGAGAAGCTGCTGGCGTAGCACAGCTTTGGCTCCTAGGTTAAGGCCCTTAGAATTATTTCCTTTATAAAAGTCACAGGAAGGAGACACAAGTGTTCAGTATTTAAAACGTTTTTAGAGCAGGCTGTAACAGCAAGGAAGTGACTACTTTAAAAAGCCCAAATTCTGCTCCAAGGACTGCACTGACATTTAGGGCTGAGGGCTGGAGTTGTAGAAAAGTAGAGAATATTTCAGTGGGGAACTTCAGGGGTTAGTTACAGAGAATTGAGAGCAGTGCTGTAAACAATATTTTGTCTCATCTGGTTACAGACAGTACACTATAAGAAAAACACATACTTTTTATAGAGCAGTTTTCAGTTCTTTGTTAGGGAATTGCCATTGAATGGGACATTCAGAACCAGAACACACTTCTGGCACTTTTCACTGGGGAAGTGGGAAGTTTCTCAGTTTTCCAAAGGCTGGTTCTGTAAATGTACCTCCTTCCCTCAGTGGCAGCATGGCTCAGAGCATCTTTTCTCAGTGGCTTTTATAGAGTGGAAGGCAGTCCTTCAATTCTGCTGCAGCAGCAGGCCCGGGGGCCGTGCCAGGCAGTGGCTGTCGTGGTGGCACCACTATGGGGGGTGGGTGTCTGGCACTCTGCTTCACACGGGTGGCCCTGAGGTGCTTCAGGGAGTGAGGTGCTGCTGAAGGTGAGGGTTTGCGTTGGGATCTTGTGCTCCAAAAGCGCCATTCATGGAAGAGAACATTGAAAACAGTGCTGAATATTTCTAACTTGATTTAAAAATACTCGTTTGTAGTTCCATGGGCACTTCATAAGCTCGTGTTTCAAATGTGCAAATTTGTATTTGGTGATTATCTGGCCATATAAGCAATTAAAACTAATTGCTTTTAATATTTCCTGGAGAAAGTTAACACATAAAATAATGGCCTATTGGAGAAGTCCAAGTGAGTCTTACGAATGCTGCATACCATATTGGTTTTCAAGTGGTTTGTGTGAAAGGTGAAATGATGAGAACGATTTCCTATAGCCTTCTTTAGAACCTCTTACATTTCTGCTGACACGTTCATTAAAAATGTGCAAGGAAAGGCTGTTGCTAAATCTTCATTTAAACCTTTCACTATGTTCTCGTTCTGTTTCATTTCCTTCCCCTGTTGGCCACCAGGATGTTTGTATGTAAACACTTTTCCTGCCTGACTCATCCCGCAGAGCTGGAGGCCAGCGTTCAGATCACCGTCGTTTTCCAGAGGGGCGAATTCAGGCCACTTGGGTCACCTAAAAATACGGAGTAGGGGAAGCTGCAAAGCGCTGGCAGCTCGCTCTGTCTGATTTGAAAACTCGTCAGGTTCACATTTCCTAGGTCTGTGGTGATTTGTTACAGAAATGGTCAGACTAAAAGATGGTGAAAGTGCCATATGACTTTCAAAAATAAAATAATTCTAACCAGGCAAAACATAAATCAAGAACCACCTCCAAATCCTGTCAGTTTATCAGATGAAAAATGAGTGGTTGGCATTTGTTTCAGCTGACGTGGTTGATATGTCCACCTTTCTGTTCAGTACTGCCAGATAATACTGTTAATTCTGCTTTTACCATATTAAGTTTTACAAGAATTCCTCTTCTCAGTTCCTCTCCATCCCCATGCCAAATCCAAAAGCATCTGAATTTTGCTCAGGAGCATGAGCAGTAGCGATACGAATACTGGATTCTTAAGAAATTAAGAGGTCATAGAGGGAAACTGTCCTGTACCCAGAAGAACATTTGATCTGTACAGAAGAACATCAGTGAGCAACTTCTGGAAAGGTCGTGCAAGGAGCCAGCAGGGCGGCACAGTGTAACAGATGCTTGGCTTTGGTCACTGAATAATTTAATTTGCTCTGAATATTGTCTCTGCTCTGCTGGTTTTGTTCAGAGACAGAATTCTGCTCCAGCCAGACACCTTGCAGTACAGGGGACAACAAGGCTTTTTAAGGATTATTTTAGAATATTCAACCAAATTGTCAAGCAGGTCCTTTCTGGCTTTGTTGGGAAGCTGAGCTGTGAACTCCTACAAAAGCAGGGTGACAGTTTGTTTATTTCAGAGGAAACTGGATTGCACTCCTGTTTTGCACTGGCTTAAGGAAGATGAGCATGAAAAGGCAGTCCTTTATGTGAACGAGTCCCTTAGATACTAAACCTTAGCAGGATAAAAACCACCAGCAGAATTGCACGTTGTAATTGATCCTTGAAACATAAGTGAGTGTGTGGATTCCCATACAGCTCCTCCGTGAAATCTTCAATATCACAACGTGCCTGGAGAGGCAGTATGTTTTAGTAATTTCCTCATTAAGTCTTGGGTTAGCATCTTATGTTGCATTTGGAAAGAGAAATTACGAAACTAAAGCAAAAAATTAGCTGCTGACTGTTAAAATGAATTATAGAATTAGTAATTATACATCCTGTGCCCAGTCTGGTTTTAATTTTGCTTCCAGACCAAAAACCCAGTGAATCTTGTTTTCATGGAAGGAATCAGATGCCTCAACAATTTACAACAGATGCAAGGTTAACGTAGAGATGCCAGTACCACTGTCAGTGGTCACTGCCAATATGAAATCCTAGTCTCTACTGAAAAAGAAATTGGGTGCTGACTCTGTCGGTGTCTCTGGTTTTCTAATCACATTTCTGCGTTCTCCTCAAAGCTGCTTTTGTGTAACCCCAACCGCAGAAATGGCCATTGTAGAAAATACTGTAACTCTGTTACAGCACTCGTCATGGATCAGAACTGGAAGAGGAGGGGAAAAGGCTTTTACACAGTTTTTGAGAGTGCTGTTTCTAGTAACGCCTTAAAAAGGCAGTGTGAAAGTAGTGTAACAAACACTTCAACTCCGTCTCTTTAGGGAAGTTAAAGCCAGAAGAGTGCAAAAAATGAGGAACCACTTACATAAGTCATAATTTCATTTGTGCTTGCTCTGCTTTTTCTAGTTCCATTTTGAGGACAAAGAAGATCGGTGTTTCGCTCGTTGGTACTAATTTGGTTCGTTGCTATAGCGGCAGTAACGTCAGCACCTTTACTCTGAGCTAGCAGGATCCAGGGGTAGAACTTACACCTTTGAGTGACTCTGGCGTTACGTGCACTCACCTTTTCTCTCTCACCTCGAGACTGGGCTGTGATTAAGCGGAGAGGACTGGGACGCAGAAATTAATGGCATTACCCAAGCTCCACCCTCCCAACAGTTCCATAAAGCACATGGAGGGGCTTTTGTGGTTTCCTTTCTAGTGGAAGTTGTTGACTTCATTACAATGTGATTTACTTTCCATTGCACCAGTTAATGTTGTCCTTTACCATCCGTCTTGCCTCTGTGACGTTTTGTGTAGTCTTCTTCAGCTCTCGGCTGTTGGTCTGCCTGGGTGAGCAGCACTTTGTTGTTCTGTGAGCATGCAGAAACAGCAAACGCAACAAACCCACCCCTCTCCTACCTGCTTTTCCCTGCCCCTGGGAATACTCCTTATTGGAAAGTAAGTGTATCAATCTGTGCCAAGACCAGGAGTTTCTGGCGGGTGGGGTTGTTAAAGTCGTGGTTTATTCTAGCACAGAGACATATTTTCTGAACTTGCGTGTTTAAGCTAGCGGTTAAAAATCATGCGGTGTTTTCTGATTTCTGTGAGAATGCTAAACTCTTCATATCCACCTAGTTTCTAGGAAGCTTCCAGTTTGCACTTAAAGGCTAGCGAAATGCCAAGCTGTCTTTTGCTGTAGAAGCAGTAAACACGGAGGTGCCTGCTTGTCTCCAGTGTAACGGATGTGTGTTTTCTCTTGCTGACTCACCAGCAGACACAGTCTTTGTATATTCACAAAGAACTCATGAAGAGGACTTTAGGGACACCCACCTGTGCCATTGAGGCTAGGGAATATGTTGTAAGTTCGTGTATGGTGTGATCAGCCCATACCGTTGCTACACAGTCGCTAACCCCACTTACAACGCCATTGGAGTGTGCTGTGCAAATGTGCTTTGTAAAAAATCAGAAGGAAAATTCGGTGGGAGGCAAGTTGCAGCTTACTGTGTTATGTGCAGGAAAGATGCGTCTGCTAGTCCTGGAAATGCTGAAATTGGCCCAATTACAATAGCTGGACCTGTGAAAATCAGCAAGTACTACAAGCAGGTTCCATGCATTTACTCTAAAAAGCAATTTATGAATGCAGTGTTGAGCATCGTGAGCCAACCCCTGTTTCCAGCAGTGCAGCGACACGCTCTGTGCCTCGGCTGTGGAGCGCTCCCTAGAGCTTCCTGATGCTTCCCTGAGCTCTGTAATGATGAGTGTCCATGGACTCAAAATATCTGACCTCTAACTCTGATACCCAGATAAAGCAGAGCATGGGGAGATTGTTACAGGAGCACTAAGAGAGAAAACTGCCTTTTGGTTGTATGGAAGTGATTTATTTCAAGCCTGTTTTCTGTAAGTGAGGTTAGTGTCCGTGACTGTCCAATAACACATGGACTTGCTGGCTTTCATGCTCTCTCATGTGTTATTGAAGCTTGTGGCTCTTAAGCTCTTCATTTTTTCCCTGCAAGACTGAGCTAGACTTGGTTTAAGTTGACAGCTTGAAACAGATTTGCTCATTTTGAAGAAATGTAATTGATTCGATCATTTCGGGGGAAAACGCCTCTGTTCTCCAGAAGCTATGAGCAAGTTTCTAGCTGTGAAAACCCAACAGAATGGACAAAAGTAGTTATTTAGTGTTTCGTGCAGATTTATTTTCAGTCTGCTTACATTTGTTTATAGAAACTGAATCGCTGTCATGAAAATTATGACTGCATTTCAGAAACTGAAAACTGTGAATATGACTTATTTCAGCATTTCATTGTTTCCAGTCCATGATCTGCTTTTATTTGTACTGGTTATAACAATCCCTGATGTACCATTTGGAAATGCTATTAATAAGTTTTCTATTTTTGGCATACTTAACAGCATAAGAATTTGGCATACGGCGTCTGTAATCCCTTTCAAATTTGCTGAATTTACAGCAAAAGAATAGTCTTGATGCAGATGATTCTCCGCAGTAGCGTAGTGCCTCTAGAGCGAGTAGTGTTTAGAAACTAGCGCATGTAGCATACATTTGTGCCTTTTTATAGAGTGCTTCATAGGTAAATATTTATTCTGCACCATGAGTCTTGTCTGTATACGTACAAGGATCTCAATTTGTGCTGATCATGTCTATGCTAAAGTTCACAGGAGTGCTAAAGCAGTTATGCACACAAAAGCTGCCTCCGCTGAGTTTCCTCAGCAGCATATTTCAGCTCGGTTTTTTCCTTCCTGTATGATTATTCTCTCAAATGGATTGGTTTTGTTTGCTTTTTTTAATGGCCTCTTAGCTGAGAGAGTGAATTTCTTCCTTGCACTGTGATTATTATCATGTGTTTACTTCCTAATGGACTGAACTTCAGAGGGAAGTTTAACTGCTGTCATCAGCTGTCGTCAGTTCAAATGGAATATTTCACTGTTTATTTCAAGGCCATATATTTTCCTTGAAGGGTTGGCATGTATTACCATACAAAGGCTGGTAACTGACGGTAACTTATTTTTGAGAAGTGTGTATTTCTCAAATCATGCTGTCAAAAACAGCACAGATGTGGAGCCACCTTTATTTTAAACCCAATCCTAAAGAAACGTTTTTTGCTGAAAATGGAGCGTCTATTTGAGAGCATCACATTCAGGAGCTGTTGAGAGTGAAATAAAAGAGAACTCTTGAATGGAAAGAGCTTCTGAAGTCCCACAGTACAGAGCACTGCCTGGAGCTAGACCTTTACAGATGTCATGTTTCAGCTGTCTTTAACACCCAGGGTGTGCATTTGTGCACTGGAGTTTGTTGGGCAGTTTGAGCACTCGCAGCAGTCCCCATAGAGCCGGCAGAGCAGGCATGGGGCTGGAGGAGGAGCCTGGCTGCAGTTTTCTCCCTTTAAAATACCTTGAACAGCAGCAAACTTGTGCTCCTCGGCACAGACCAGAAAAGCCCCGTAGCACCGTTTGTCTCTTATCTCTTGGAAAGCCTTCAGGATTGCAGCTGTCAGGCACTGGCAGAGGCTGTGGGAATTTCGGTGGTCGGCTGCCCAGGCCCGTTGGTTCACCTGGCAGTTTCTGAGGCTCTCCAGTGCTGTTGAGGTCTGGATGTGTCAGTGATGAGGGGCAGAGGCAGACCCTGCTGCTGCGTAGGCACTTCAAGCAAGCCCTTCTTGTTAGTCTTACTTTCCCAGAAGATAATGTTTTGGCCCTGTACCAGGAAATGTGGTAACTTTGGGAGAATTAGCTCATGTGTATCGTTTAAGGAGGTTGAATAATGTCTTACCGTGCTGCCATGGAATCAATTTGGTGTAAAGAGAAAAGGATTTCTGCCCCCTCCTCCTCCTCCTTGGTCCTGCCCTTGTCTGACTGCATGGCCAAAGGACACTTGAGTATTTGTTTCTGAATTGTTCAGTAACGCGAATTGACTTTATGTGACTTTATGCAATCAGTGGGGATATTTCAAAGTCATTGTCCTTTGGATGTAGGCCTGAGAGCCAGGAGGTCGCTGGAGATCCGCTCGTGCTTTTTGGAGCTGGAGGCCTGCTGCAGTATCTTACCTCTTTGAGTTTTGCCCGGGCGTTACCCCTTTCTCTTCAGCCCTCACATAAAGTGGCTGATGCTCATGACTGTGTTTCAGTACATTTTTTTAATCCAAAGTAGCTTGCGTACATTTGCAAGTTCAGAGCTTTTTCCCACTTGAGAGAAGTTGCCGTAACGAGAGAAATCGCTGCTGCTGTTGCTGTAGCCGCTGCACATGAGGCAGCCCAGGCCAGGTTTTCACCAGCAGTGCTGAAGCAGATGTGTAGAGGTCCAACACTTCCATTCTGTTCCTGGGGAGGAAACGGCAGCTGAGCGATGGTGCTGGCCCATCTTGTGAACTTTTGCACAGATCTGTTAGTGTTACCCATTTTGCCTTCCAACAGCAAGGGGATTGTGTGTCATTTATTGTAACGGCAGCCTGAAAACGTTCCTCTTCTACTGATGCACTGTTGTTTTTTTCTCTTTCTCCCCCCACCCTGTATCTCTCCAATTTTTACATGAAGCTTTCTCTCAAGCTGGTAAGCACATTTACAGCATGCCTGTCCTGTGTTTTAATCACAATTTTCTGTGTGTGTTTTAATGTGCACTGTGCCTCATATGACATGACACTGAAATTAACTGTTAAAATTGTTTCTTCTTTGTGTTTGCTTTTTTTGACGTTTATCAGATAACTCTGAATACACAGGTCTGGAGTCTAATAGAGGTGATCAGAATTCAGTCTTTCTAATAAGCTGCTAAAAAATTAACTCTAATACATAGTTTAGTTTTCACTTTTATAATCTAGGGCTATGAAAATGTAGAAAAACAGTATCAAGTAATTCTGCTACTGTTACATTACATTAAAACGTTTAACAGAGAAAAAAATAAAGGTCACTGTGCTTGCTGGACCTTTTCCAGAGAGAAATGCATGTTTTTTGTGTAACACAGCTGCAAAGTTTGCTTTCCGCATCCAGATATTACTGGAAATCTGCATCATTATCACCTACATTTTACAGCCCTATGTAGTCCTTCAGAATAACTAATAATGATATTAATTAAAGTTCTGTAAACCTTAACCAACAAGGTTAATTAACTCGGTTTGATTTGAATTCACAAATGGAGAGATAAATATGAATCCTAAATTCTGTCTTGGATGCAGCTGGGAAGGTTTCTTGAACTACGGTAAGATAACAGGTTACTGAGTTGGAAAGGGAAGGGGTGAACGTATTTGGGAAAGCAAATTACGTGCAGAACTTCCTACACAAGGTACGGTATTGCTTGAGATGCTCCACGCCTTGATGTGTTCCCGACAGCTCGTCCTTGTCTCCACGCCTTGGTGTGAGCCCAGTCACAAGGAGAATGCAGCTGGTTTGCTGACCCACTTCATGCAAGCATGCAAGACATATGTACACATGTAATGCTCTTGGATACATCATTGTGGACGTGTTCTGTTCATAGCAGCTTATTCGGAGGAAACGTGTGTGCCACAAAAGCCACCTGACGTAGCTCTGTCAGCACAGTGACTTCCCGGGGCTTCGTTAGCAATGTTGTTTCTCACTGAAGCCCAGCGGTGGCCTCAGGAATGGTGGAAATCTCTAGCTTACTTGCAAACTTTAATCTTTTCACTGGTGTTCCAATGCATTTATACCAGAGATTTCCATTTGTTGTTTTCCTGGTCTAAGCCTTTGTACGTAGGAATATCTCTTCCCAAAGTAAATGGTTGATCTGGTCTTTCCCCAGCAATTGCACCAATCACAAAGATGCACAGAGAGGGTTGAGACCCATGTGCACCCCAGGCAGAGGAAATCAATGTATTTTTAACTTCCTCTCAGGTCCTGGCTGTACAAGAGCCAAAACTGGGTCAGCTGATAAACTTTGCACTCTCCCCGTATATAGCTTCAGCCCAGAAACTGGTCCTAACGTGGCCTCGTTTTTCACAGTCTTTCATCTTGGGAAGATTGGCATCCCAAATCCCAGTGTCTTTAAGCAAGAAAATCTAGTGAGCCCTGGCATGGCTGGTCCTTCGACAGTACATCAAAAGTAGCACAGCTTTTCCCCTTCACCTCACTGTTGAAGCATTTCTGGAAAATGCAGGCAACGTTCACTACTTGGGAGATAGCCCAGGTGTAGTTTTGCTTGAGAGCATGAAATGTGCCCAGCATGTGCAAAAATTGCTCCTTGACTCTTTCCTCTGGAGGAGGAGGAACTGTGGCTTCTGATAGGATGGGAAATTATTGAGCATGGAAGAACTTCTGAGTGAAATCACCTCCCAGACTCAGGCACATGTTTCGATGCCACACGAATGCTTTGGTCTGAAGCACTGTGAACAGAGATACTGAATTGAGCCCAGCCTGGAGCTTTTGAATGAAGTTGAAGAATCAAACAGAAGATGCTTTTCCAAATTTGTTTGTTTACATCTATTGCATTCTCCTGATGTATAACTGGGGATCTTTTCAAGCATACCTGCCTGTTCTGCTTGGAACTGAGAAAAATGTTATGTAGTCTTTCCTGTAATTGCTTGTTTCTTTACAAAGCTACATCCAGATGCTTTGCCTTAGAGATTTAGTGTGCAGATTATGCATAAAATATATCAAATCACTCTCATGTCTAATGTGATGTGGGAGTTACTATCAAGCAAAATATTATTAGCATTAAAGAATGAATTAAAATATATCTCTCTTGTACCTTGCACAGCAGGTAATGTAAGCACTGCTAGGACTTCATGTGGTTAAAGTTTCAGAACGAGTGTAACTTCCTTGGTTGTTTCCTTCATTTGTCTTAAATTTGCCTTCTCATGGTCTCATGAAGTGGAATGTTAGGGTGTATTAATTGCTACACAGTTGATCAAGGCTTAACTGGACACATATGCCATCTTATACTGAAAATCAGTATGGCATCAACTTGATGAGGTTTGCCTGTTCTGGTATTTTGAAAAGGCCAGACCAGAGGAGAAGCTGACCTGTCTTAGTTGTCCTCCATCCCTCTGACACCCACACACTTTCTTTCCAAACAGCTTGGTCTGCGAGTACAGAAGAAAGAGTTCACTGTCTCAGAGCACATTCAGTGCAGAGCTGAGAGGGTCTAATGGGCAGCTTTTGTGGCAGAGTTTCCACTAAATCACACTCCTCCGAGAGAGGGATTTGGCATTTTAGTAAGACTGATGTTGCAGCTCTGCTCACAGGCTTTCAGTAAGCTGTCGGGCCATTGAATTTGGTTTTTACCCTTCTTTCTCCCATAGGTGGGTATTCTTCCTTAGAAATGAGACGTGAAATGAGCAGAAACCAGAACAAGAAAAGCCTGTACAAATTCAAAATAATGTACAAAACCTCATTCCTTATGGTGCAACCAATTTAATATTGGTGTATGTTCAGTATCGCCCACCCAGAGTCCCCCCCTTGCCCTTCTGCAAGACAAAAATAGGTGGTACTTTGAATAAAATAGTATGGATGTATTTTCTGTGTCATCTATCTGCTATATTAAATGGAGGCAATCAAGAAGAAGCATAGCAGTTTGAAGGCAGAAAAGGGGTTTTCAAGCAGAATCTCACAAAGGTAACCACTGTGGTGTTCAAATGTTTACCTCTGTTATGATTTCAAATTGATTGATTCTGTGGCTTTGATGTAGCTCCCGATTTTTAGGCTAGAACAAGTGAGAGAGGAAAAGCTGAGAGACTTTGACATGGAGTGTGGATCCTGGAAAGCATGCAGCATGGTTTTAAATTGCAGAATGTCAGAGGAAACGTTTCTGTTACCTTAGTGCATTCAGAGGAGCCCTGATGTCAATTAACTGTATCAGACCAACACTCAGACTATGCAGACGCAGCCAGCAATTAATGGTGTGCTTGCGAAGCGTGACTGCGACACAGGAGTGAAAGCCAGCAACTGCTTTTAGGAGGCTGCTGTTTGCAGCAGAGTAAGAGAACGCAGGAAAGATCAGCATGAGAAAGGAACTCTTAAATAAATCTGATGATAACTATAGATAAAAATAGATTCTCAGCTTTGCTGTTGAATTCTGGTGTTCTTTAGTTGGTGATCTCTCATTAGCCATTTGGTCTGAAAGTGGGAGGTGGTCCTGAGATTAGTTCTAGGGCATCCAGACTGCTAACAGATAACTCTCAGTACAAATAATAGCAATGCTTCAGACCATTGTAATTTTGCACAGAGTTTTGTGAGCTGTTTTCAAAATGCAGTCCTGAAAGATTCTTTCAGGCTCTGATTTTTCTTCTTTTTTTCTCTCATTCCACTCTGTGCAGGGAGCGGGGCCAGAGGACTTCAGCAATCTCCCACCTGAGCAAAGAAGAAAGAAACTTCAGCAAAAGGTTGATGAACTAAACAAAGACATTCAGAAGGAGATGGATCAAAGGTAGGTCAGCCCCCTCCAATGAAAAATGAAATGGGTGGTCTTAGGAGAACAGAAACATGTAACAGATATAGGAAGGAGCAAATAAAGACCAGGTTGTAGGTTTGTTTAAGGTACCGTTCCAAGAAAGAAAGAACCAGAGGTTACATATGGCTGTGAACACCTGAGAGATTCAAGGCTCTGCACAACTCGGATTCTGAAATCAGTTATTTAATTTTGGCTGATGTGAGTCAGAGCTGGGGTAAAAGCTGGTGCTCTCTTTATTCTGTTCTCCCACCTCTGTGTAATGCATATCGTGTCTTGGGAATCAGGAGATGAGAAGATCCTCGTGTAAAGACAGGAATTGTATAAATGAGGCAACTAGAGACAGCTTTTCCTTCTTTGTTGGGTTTTACAGGAGACCAGCAGTTTAACCATGAGCCAGAGGTTGCTGTTAGATCTAAGTTTGTTTCTTGATGTGAGCCATTCCTGAAGGTGTTTTGTAGGAAAGTACAGGATGTAAATAGAGCCTCAGTCCAAGGTGCAGTCACAAACCTCTCGGCGCTAAGCAGAGCACCTATTGCTGTGTGATGAGCATGGGTGGATCCCAATGTGCGTGGCATGGGAACATCATCAGAAGTGGTGATTGATTGCCAAGTGTATTAAGACTCTGATCTGTAGCTTACATTTCCTGGAAGCAGAAAGATGGTGACTCCTGTGCTTTTGTGGGTGCTTTTTCTACAAGGCTTCATTTATCATTCTGGTTGAGAATGAGGTTATTTTAGTTACACATTTCGTATTGATTCTGGCAGCCTGTATTTGTTGCTTTGTGTTTGTTCACATTGTGTGGTTGTATTAAAGATTCAGCATGTTACGCTTGCAAGAGACAGAACTTTTCTTCCCTGAATGATTTCAAGACTTAGCCTCTCCAGTACTGGTCTGTCCCTAAATATTGCTTTGTGTTTGTACAGATGTGCCTACTTTTTCTGCTAACTTGCTTTGAAGAACCTGTTTTTTGGTGTACTAAGCTAAACTTTCTTCATGTTTTATATCATGAATAAGAAAGGAAAACTGCACATGATTATATGATTTCTCATTGCTTTGGTTTTTTCTTCTGTGGTAACTGTATATTTATCTCTGTACAGATACTCCTTTCCGCTCTGTATTGATTCTGAGGTAACCCAATGCTAAAATCATATATGAAATCAGAGCAGAATGAAGTAGTTTCAAGTAAAGAGAGTACATGACTGAGGAAGTAGCACCAGCAGTTAAATAAGAGTTAAAAAATAGTAATAATCATGACTCATATGTTTGCAATATTGTCCCTTAGGGCTCCAACCACAGAGCAGTCCCACTTCCTCGCCACCCACACTTTTCCCCATCTTTCTATACACACAAAGCAAAGGCAAGCACAGGATTGCAATTGTCAACAGTTTGGTGGGAAACTCTAAAATATAACGAGTGTTAACTTGAGTCGTGGGACTCTCATTAACCTTTCTCCCCCCAAGTAATGCCTAGAGAAAAGCTGAATAACTGTGCCAGTAACGCAGGAAATCGGCTCATAGGTCCACCCTTCTCAAAGCTCTGAATTGTTCAGCATCGTGCAGATAACTTCAGATAAGTTCAGCCTCAACTCGCCTCAGGTCAAAGGCAGCGCACTGCTGTCAGTGGGAGCCCCACAGCTTTCCTCAGGGAGCTCATGTAGGCACGGACTACGTTAATCTTGGCTTTACAGCACCACATTCATCATAGCAGGCCTGAAAATGAACATTTCTGAAACCTTACGCGTTTGGCATCTGGGTTGATAGGAAACACAGCCCCCAGAAAGAGTCTGGTAAAAGTGCTGTGTAACTTAGCAGGATGCAGGGTCATTTTATGTGCCATAAGGTCCATCTGTCGCTGCACTGTGACAAATTCAAACCATCTGGATTTAGCTTCCTTTTAAGCAGTGTGAAATAAATACCTTACAAATTATTTGGGTTGTGAAAGACAAACTGCAACAGGAAGGGTGTGAATTTCAGGTTAGCACTCCATTTTTATTATTAATAGGTCCATGTCCAGCTTGCTGTCCCAGCTTCTCAACTGGATTTTAGCCCTCGATGGAGAATGATACAACTGTTGTGCCCCAAAAACTGGGATGTTATTAATCTAGAAAGTCAAAGCTGTCTTTCATTGCAATGGTTGTGAGATTTTTTTTATTTATTATGTTTACCCTCATTTAGAGAAAGGCATTCACCTCCAGCCACACTAACACACGTTTTACTTTTCTGCTGTCTCTCAGAGATGCCTTAACGAAAATGAAAGATGTGTACATCAAGAACCCACAGATGGGAGATGCTGCGAGTGTGGACCACAGATTAGCAGAACTTGCACAGAACATTGACAAGTTACGATTAGAAGTCCAGAAGTTTGAGGTATGGGAAGAGATGTTTCAGTAAAAAGTAGCTCAGCGTATGCTCAGTTCTAAGCAGGTGCTTCATTGCTTTTCCAGATGTATTGGAGCGTTTTCTTGGTATGTGTGGGTAAGTGCTACTTAAGCACTTGCGTTAATTGAGATCTTTGAGCCTATTTGTGTAAGGTAAATACGCACCATCCCTAGTGATTGTCAGCTAACAATCCTGCTGTTTAATTTCCCATCCACAACAAATTCTGCTAAGTGGTGGATAAGAGAAAATGTGCTCTCTGGGCTGCTCGGGGCTTCAGATGGTTACTCAATTAATTAAATAATTTGAAGCATCGTGTTACAGATGTCTGTGGAAAATCGGGGGAACATAAATGTAAGGCCTCGTTTACAGTCTCAGAGCAAGACAGAAGGCATCAGATGAAACATGTTTTAAGGAATAACCTGCAATTAGCAGGAAGCTTCTTAGAAATACAAAATCTCAGGAGTACTATGAATATTTGCAATATATGAAGCCATTATCACTACACCAGAAGAATTACAGGGCTGAGGAAAGACTTCACTCTCTGAGTTACGCTATGTACATAAATAGGTGCAGCCCATTAACTTTAGATGTTTCTTACAGTTGTTGGCTCTACTATCCATTGCTTTCTTATCCATTTGGAAATTGCTGGGTCTTTAATTCTCCCCAGCTTTAGTCCTCTTGCATTCAGCACTCATCGAGATTGTTGTGTTTCTGGTGTTATTGAGAGTACTATAAGCTGCCACACGTCTTTATTGTGACTAGAGCAGCAGCATCTCCCAACAGCTGCTGTTAACTGCATCACCTGGGTCACTGTTTTCAGCACCTGGTGTCGAAAAAGAATCGAGTTTTCGGCAATTGTGGTTTTTTTGGCAAGACCAGTAGTCTTGAAGTAGAGAATCTATTAACCTTGACAACTGCAACCCACAGGAAAATGTAAATACGTTTACCAACTGGTTATAGTTCCATAGTCTGAGTGTCAAATCCAACACAGCAAAGTAAAAGCAAGATATATCCCCTTCCAGGTTGAAGTATGAGATGTGTGACACTGCTTTCCCCCTACAGGGCTGGCTGGCTGAGGTGGAGGGCAGGTTGCCCACGCGGACTGAGCAGGCCCGGCGGCAGAGCGGGCTCTATGAAGCCCAGAACACTTCAGCAGTGAACAGCTGTGCACAGGACCGGGAGAGGTACAGTATCTGTACAGAGCTGTCCTACTCGGACTGATAATGGGACCCACTTTCTTTAGGTTATTATCAGGAAAACTGTTGCTCTGCAGCGTTCAGAAACTTGCTCTCCAGTCAGATTAAATGCAGGCACTCCATGAACTGTTTTGCATACTGATTTTAGCATATGCAAAATCCCAACTTAAGAGCTACTTTTCTGAGTATGATGGAATGTGTAATAGCCCCCACACTCACTGCTGTGAAGGTGAGTGAGGTAGACACGGGTTTTTACAGCTTTTGATGGGGAATAAGGACTGGCCTTACCCATCATTTTGGGACAGCCGCTGGTGTAATGGCCAGTTCTGAGCGTGCTTTGGGCTTGCTGAGCTGCTCCAGCTGCAGTTGCTCACCTTGCCTTTAGTGTCCAGTGATCGAGTCATTCTCTTTGCTCCTGAGACTGGTCGCTATAGTTGCTCTGTATTTTCCTCTCTTGAGCAGCCCGGATGGCAGTTACACAGAAGAGCAAAGTCAGGAGACTGAGATGAAAGTACCAGCAACAGATTTTGACGATGAATTTGATGATGAAGAACCACTACCCACTATAGGAACATGTAAAGCGCTCTATACATTTGAAGGTATCACTCAACCTTTACTCTCATTTCACTTACTGTTTTGCTTAGTTCACATGCCAAGGACAAGTGGGAAACCTTCATTTAACCTCTGCAGTGCTTAAACAAAGGATGAATGAGGCTCTGGTGTGATTCTGTTTTGTAGAGGCACTAAGTGATTTGTCTCTCAGTATGCATGGACTCTGCAAGAAAAAAAACAAACCAAAAAAGCCTCTAACGTCAGGATCACGTTCATCTTGTTCTTCGTGTCCACACTGTTGTCCGCTGAATCACCTGTTCTTGGTTCATGCTGCTCGTGGTGCAAGGAAGGTTGTGTCAGCGTGGGAAACATTCATTTAACCTCTGCAGTGCTTAAACAGACAAAGAAAGGATGAATGAGGCTCTGGCGTGATTCTGTTTTGTAGAGGCACTAAGTGATTTGTCTCTCAGTATGCATGGACTCTGCAAGAAAAAAAACAAACCAAAAAAGCCTCTAACGTCAGGATCACGTTCATCTTGTTCTTCGTGTCCACACTGTTGTCCGCTGAATCACCTGTTCTTGGTTCATGCTGCTCGTGGTGCAAGGAAGGTTGTGTCAGCACCTTGTCTGAGTGTGCCCTGAGCACCCCCCCGCTGCATCTGTGGTTCCCAACGTGCAGCACAGCCTAAAGTCCACGTTCCTGTGTCTTTCAGGTCAGAATGAAGGAACAATTTCTGTAGCAGAAGGAGAAATGCTGTATGTAATAGAAGAAGACAAAGGTGACGGGTGGACGCGAATCCGAAGGAACGAAGATGAGGAGGGCTATGTCCCTACGTCCTATGTTGAAGTCTATTTGGACAAAAATGCCAAAGGTGCTATGACTTATATTTAATACTATTATAATTACTTTATTTGCTTTCACAGAGATATCCAACCCTGCAACTGCTTTGTGTTGCAGATGGAGCCTGTTAAAAGTCTGTACAATGCCACAAAGTGCATTATTTCGTACATGAACTAATACGGCTTGCTGTACTGCAAACATGCTTTTTATTGTTCAGAGAAGGGTAGCGCAGTAGACTGCAAAACTAGAGGGGAAATGCAGCCTTTCCTAGACAGTGCTTATCCAGCTGTCACTGTCATTGCACACTCGACTTAGTGCAGGGAATGCAGAGCTATTTGGGGAAATATGGGCTCTCCTCAGACATCCAGGTGGCTTCTCAGTCGCACTCACAAGTCAGCCGTTTGTCCCAGACTGATTCAGTGGAATATTACACAGGAAAGAGTAAATGCTGTTTTGTGTCTCAGTGTGGCAGCTTTTCAGAGCCTAATGTGTTCTGTGGACCTTTTGGATTGAAACCTGGTCATCATTTAATCAGTGTGTTTAGAAGGGAACAGAGGGAGCTTGCCAAACCTTTCTACACAGCACTCTGGTCCTTGATAAACCAGCAGAACATTGACATGAAGAAAGATCATCTATTCTTTCCCACCTTGATACATTTCAGTAAATGGTGCTTTTGGGTATACTTGCTGTTTTGGATTAAATAGTTATTCTAGATGACCATAAATAATGGTTTAATCTTCTGCTCACACATGGTGAATGGTGACACTCAAAGAGTTTAGACACTGCTGTCTTCTGTTTCATTGTTGCTTTTAATTTCTCACAAATAGGTGTGTTGTGTCAGCAAGCAGTGTGTACAAGGGAATCCTGGCTACAGTATATGCTAGCACTATGAACACCTGGTAATGCAATACATTTTAGTCCGGTTTCAAATCAGGATGTGCTTGAAGTCCACTGTTAAATAATTTGTGGTTTTTTCAGTCACTTAATCCTTCAGATTATTGTTGTGTTTCCTATACTTGGTGTGAAACAAGCTGCCTCATCCAATAAAAGGAAACGGAAACATTCACATTGGGATTTATGGGCAGTAGGAAGAGAGGAGTAGGACTGTCTGTAAACAGACACTTCACTTGCTCAGTTCACTGTCTTGGGCTCAGCATGAAACAGCGCAGTGCCTTGTCTGCTGCTGCTGAAAGTCTGGGGTCTTGTTTCATTTTGCCATAATATGGTAGGTTTATGTTTGTGCTGGCAAATACGGGGTCAGTTGAGATGCAAAAGAGTGCAAAAAGCTCAGCCCCTCTGTCAGCTTCTGTTTACATTTGAAAGATTAACATGGGTTGTGCATCCTCCTTACTTCATATTCAGGACAAGGCAGAAAGCGCAGAATGGAAGATCCCATCTCTTACCCCTGTGTTCTCTCCTGTGGAGATCAACTGCTTTGTGTGTGGCAGTAGTTGAAAGCAGCATTATTATTCTGCTGGAAAACTTATTGTTCACCAGCGTAGGCTGCTTGAAATGGCTACGCTAGTGTGGCATCTAAATCTGTCTTAAGTAACAAGCAGGGCCCCTCTGCCCTCAGGCACACAGCATTGTTCACATCAGTGGAGTTACAGCAGATCACCTATTTGTGTGATAGTAAATCGCCTATTTATATCACAGCAAATGACCTATTTGTGTGATAGTAAATCACCTATTTATATCACAGCAAATCACCGATTAGGGCAGCGCAGCAGGTTGGATGGGAAGGGAGGCAAAGCGCGTCTCTGGGTGGGGTGAGAAAACCTGACGCAGCCCTGCCAACTGAGCTAGAAAGAGTCTGTCTTTAATCTACCCTTCAGGAGGGCATCTTGCAGGAGTATCGCACTGCCAGCCAGAAAATGTTGTTAGTATGTCAGTGGTATTAAGTAAGTTATGGGGCGGTGGTGAATGACGGTAAAAATGCAGTCTGTGCTGGGAGTGAAGGCTGATAGAGCTGCAGTCACTTCTACAGCAATGGTGGAGGTTTTTCAGATCTTTTTTCATTAATTTTGCTGGACTGCAGGAACAAAATCAGTTGTATCTGTGAATACCTAATGTAAAGGAACTCTAATAGTTATCTTCTCTATTTCTCAGTTCTCTGGTTAAAAAGAAAAGCTAAAAGAGAACTTTCCATAAAATGTCTCAGTAGCAGTATAAAGATTTGGCAGAAGGTCACTGTGTTTAAAATCTTTGCAAGCTGCAAATTTCTCATTTGATTTTTAATATATTAGTAGAAGTTACTTTATTCAGTCCTTGAAACAGAAGCTATGACATTCCTGAAAATGCCACTGTAAATAGTAAAGCATTTACGAACTTCGGTAGTTCTTTCCTGTTTTGGGAAAGAGGCTTGAGCTGCTGGTCCCTCTGAAGGTCGGTTGTATGTAGGGTGGGAGTGTTCCCATCAGCTCCCAGCACACTTGTGACCGTTTCAGCCAGCAGGATCCATTCTGGCTCAGGCTGAGCTGCCAGCTTGTGCCCGTGTCCTGAGCTGAATGCGGCTCTGCCCAAGAAATGCAGCTGTGAAATGCTCTGTGAAAAGCTGCTTGGCAGCTGGCGAGTGCTTTCAGTCAGCTGAAGCCTGTGTGGTCAGGGCTCTGCTGGCGAACCTGAGGTGAATAGGACAGGTAAGTCGTGTGCTGCAGTCACTCTGCTGAGCGTAGTCCTCCTAGGAGCCACGTTAGGTCTGCGTCCTCCTGCCAGTACTGGTGTGAGGGCTGCTTGTAAAGTTTACAATGACACCTCTGGTCAGAGGGTGCTAGCAAACCCTGTCACAAAAAAGAACAGTAATGCCTATCTTGTTTTGCCTTTTTTTTTCCAGATATGTACAAATCACTTCAGAAAATCTCTGAGTAGGTTTGCATAGGCCTGTTCACCTTTTGTTCTACTGGTTTGCTGCTACGGTTGTTTTAAGAGCTCTGTTTCGGAAGGTTTTCTTTAGAAGAGATGAATGCACTTGTCATATCTCCAGCAATGAAAGACTCTGTTAGGTACCGTTCACTCAGCTGATGCATGTAGAAGTTCACCTCTTGACATTTAAATGTGCATCACTACCAGTGAAAGTACTGGCCTGACTGTGTGAAATCAGTTGTAAACAGCCTTACTGTCCTTCCTAGCGGAAATGAGAGCCAACACAGTTCGTTCTCCCTGTGATGCATGTAGGAAACTATTATAAATGCTAAAAGTAAAAGCCACGCAGACCAAGAATTGGATCTGTTGGATGTAAACTTGTGTCTTGGGGCTTATGCCAACCTCTGTAGGGGCTGAGGAAGAAAACTCCTGTGTGCACACATGGGTGTAGCTTCTTGCAGGGCTTTTCTGCACCTGTCGGGTACCTGACAAGTATCAAACACAGGAACCAGCTGGGCCTTTTTGCTCAAGACTGACCACACTGTTACTGAATATGACTCCTCATAATCTGGGCAATCTTTCTTTCACTGAGGGATGTTGTGAAATGGTGTGATAGACAAAAGAACTTGCACGAAATAACCAGCTTTATATAAACTCTCCGTTGCACCCAACAAAAACGCCGTGTTCGCTTCCAGCAGAAAGCTGTTTGGGTGACACGCAAGGATAGAGGCTGGTTTGTGAAGTTAAGCTTTCTGGAAAGAAAACTAAGAATTCTGGAGCCATGGGCTGCTTAGCATTTCAGCTCCTTTGCCACTGTGGGTCTGTTCCTCCTCACCTCCAGTTGAATCAGTAAATCCTTGTAGGCAGCTCTGTGATTCTCAGTGTTGCAGCTCTGCTCTGTGTTTGCTGTAACCATTATGCAGAGCCTTGACTTGCATAAGTAAATATGTAAAAGTTAACCACGCTGATGCACTTTTTATCTAGGATATATCTGATTATTTAATGCTTGCCAAATTATTTAGGAAACAGTGATTATAAACTGGACTGTGGCTTTTAAAAATCTTTCTGTTAAATACTTGCCCTTAGTTCTCCCAGTCTAAAAAAAAAATGTATATAACATAACTTAAAAACTAAAGCTACTTGAATTTGAATTGTTTTTATCCTTTTCTATATGTATAAATATAAATTGTTTTATAGGCTGTTCTTCTGCTTAACCTAGTTGTTGTTTTGATAACGACTCAGTCCCTCTCACGTTGATAAGCGTTTCTGGTTACTCAACTGCCTGCATCTGGTTGGTCTTGCATAGAAACTTCTGGTTTGTGTTAAGGTTTGTTAAATCTGGCCAGTGGGGTTGTTCCGTTTCTATTCTTATTGTTAAAAGAATCATCATCTGTCAGGAATCTCTTTATACCTTGATGTACCATGGTGTCTTCTGCTAATAAACGTTATATTTTCTCATTCCTGTGAGGTTTTTTTTTTAATGGCAATTTATTGAATTTTAACTTCACTAATGTAAAGCAAAAGGCCCAGAAGTCTGTGGTCACAGGGGTGCGACAGGATGGGTTTAGAGGCTCAAGCTGCTTTCACTCACCTGTTTATTTCTGGACTTCCCTTTCAATAATGAAAAGCCTTTACAGCTTGCTGTGTAAATGATGGAAAGTCTGGATTCATCTGCAGGATTCTTTGTGTTTTAGCTTTGTTGTTACTCTTCAGTATCATTCATGGTCTCTGGAGCTGTCACTTGAACAGGTAGAGTACTCCTTTGCACACTGAAAATGAAAAAGCCATTTTTTCCCCTGTTGCACTAAGACAGGGCTGGCAGGGCCCTGCTCCCGAGTTTTACAGCTTCATCGCACAGGCGAGCGGTGTCCCAGGGATGCTTATCCCTGGGCTGAGGGTGAATGCTGGCAACATACACCGAGTTCAGGAGCTTTCCCTAACCCCTCAAAACCTGGTAGATGCTTGGGTGCTGTATTCCTTTAACCTCCTTGCTGCAGGCAGTGCTACTCTGAAGGGATCCTGTTTTCCCCGGCCTCTTTCTAATCCAGTCTCTTTCTTTTTGTCTTTCTTATGTTTTAGATTCCTAAAGGTGTTTGTGGTGGTGCAAGAACCTCGGGGCGAGCTTGTCACAGAAGGAGAAACAAAATGGTCTGTTTACCCTGCAGGCAGTTAAAACACACCCGTGGAAAGCCAGACTCCCAGTCTTGTCTGGAGTTCCCACTTGAACAATTCAGACCCAAATTCCATCCCAGCACCATTCAGATGCTTGCTCTTTTTCATGGCATGCTACTTGTGGCTCAGATTTACTCACCAGCCTTTCCCACTCTTCTGCCAGCTTGGCACGGCCCCTCCGTACAACGTAACCAACACTTCCCCCCACCCAGTTCCTCCCACCACCGGTCAAAGAGCTGCTGGGTGCCCTTTGCAAAGGGTAACCAGAGAACCCCACGCATGCACTGGTCTGTCTTCTGTCCTGCCTTGTCCCTCAGTCCATCTGGATGTACGCACTGGTCCATCAGCATTTCACACGGTGCCTTTAGTGCTGATCCTGCAGGTAGTCTGCTCAAACGGCTGGGAAGGGAGGTGCGTATGCCCGAAAAGCCTCCCCTGGGAGCAGTGTTACAGCAGCTGGACTGGGCTCTGAATTTGCGGATATTAAATCAGATCCATGTGCAATATTCAACATTCTGCTTTCCCCAAAAGGTCACTAATACTTGTCAGCCTTTATTTCCATTTAAATCTGGGCTGATGGTCATTCCAAGTATTAAATCCCTATGACCCTGCTGTTTCCTGAAAGCCTTCGAGCTCACGTATGTACGCTTGTGTTCCTGCTTGTTCTCTCTGCCCCCTCCTCTCTATTCCCCTCTCCTCTCTTCCTCCTCTTTCTCACACACACACAGACACACACAAACACAGACACTGGCATTTTGGTTTGAAGCCCCATTTTGCTCGTCACAAAGACCTCCGTTTTGCTCTCGTTTCAGTCTGCATGCTCGCCCTGTTGCCTTGCCTGCGCCCACCTTCCCGAGGGCCACGTTATTTTGTGGCTCGTTGTTAAGTCTCTTTGCAGTTTTCTTTTGTTGGTTTGTTTTTCAGCGTTTCAGACTTGCCTTCTCCTTTTTGCATGACCTCTTGTGCGTTCTCATCAGTTAGCGTTTGAATAACAGAACTTTTTTAGAAAAGTAAAAGAAAAAAAGAAACTGCACTCTTATTTCATTCTCCCACCTTGTCATGGACTGGACCTCGACCCAGAAGCCAGGCAGGAGTTGGGACTTGTTCATCAGCCATCCTGTTCTCACGTGGTTTTATTTGAAGCAGAAGTAGCGTGATAAGTGATGCTGCACTTTATCTTGTCATGCAGTGGAGAGAGCTGTAATATCTCCAAATATCACATGATCTGGACCTCAGCTGCCTAAGGAAGGGTCATTTCCTTTCTTTTTTATTATAACTGTTGGTTTCCCCTGAATCTTTACCATTGCTAGGATTTCCCCGTCACCTTGTACGTGAGCCCTGTAAGACTCCTGAGGGCCTCATTCATTCATAGATCCACACATCATCTGGGGAAATCCGCTCGCTTTAAGTGAACCTCAGCATATTTTGTAAAATCCCCAGAATTTGAGAAAACTTACATGGAAGCCACTCTGTGCAGTGACCCTCAAGGAAACCTCAGGTTTAGTTTGCAGACAAACACGTGTGTGTTTTGCTGCCTGCTGTGCTGTTGTGCAGGGCCAGCGCTCAGAACAAGGACTCTCCGCGCTGGGGGTTGCCTCGGTCGTCCCCACTCAGGATGAAGCGATCTTTTGGGTTGTTCCATGTTGTGTTCATTGCTCTGTCCCGTTCTCTCCAGCCAAGATACCGACTTTTCTTTTTAATAGCGCAGAGTCCCTCAGCCCTACAGTTCGTACTGTAGCTGTTGTATTATGGTGCTTAATATCTGCAAGCATCGACCAGCAAAAGGTTTTGTTTTTTAATCTTAATTCAAGTGGCTCAGGAGCCTGCACTGAGATGCAGGCGATACCACCACGGGGGCCATTCAGCTACAGCGTTAGCGGCATCGGAAGGGTCATAATCAATTAAATTGCCATCGTTATCATTGCTGCTACTGCGGTCACGGAGCTGCTCAGATCCACGTCCCTCCGGTAGCAGGATGGGATCCACACGGTGGGCACCTGTGGCTTTGTGCAAGGATTTGTGCAGAGGTTGCGTTGCATCCATCTATCGGGGATCTGAGCGGTGAATCAGTTAACAGGTGTGCAAAAAGACCTTTACGATATTTTTAGCTGCAGTATTTTTATTCTCGTGTCCGATGCACTGTTGAATCAGCAGCTGGAAGAATTCGTTTTCACCTCTTGTTGTGCCATCTATGTAAAAATTAGATAAAGTTTGCTTTTATATATTTAATCTAGGTGGACAGTATATTATTGTCAGCCTCTGTGGAAGATTTGAACAGTTGCAATGTCTGTGTTGCTGAATAGCGCTGTAGAAGGAGCATTAGCTTTAGCTGACTGATTCTCTTCAAACGTTTTATTAGAAGACCATGTATGGAGTTTTTATAAACTTGGCAATGAGTTCCCGAAAGCCCGGATCTTAAAACTTACTACGAGAAAACAACAGCGACAGTCGTGTGCTTTATCCCGCACATCTTTACTCCGCTGCCTTTATTCGGGGTAAAGAATGAGTAATTTTTGTAGAATTTACCTTTTGCAAAATCTGAAGGACTAAACTGACCGGTTTATAAAAACTCTGCTTGAATTTACTAATCTCGCCCAGAAACGCGGACTGTGCATCCTACAGAATCTCATTATCCCCAGCAAAAGTCTCTAATGCCCTTTCTTAACACCTGTAAATAGAGAAGAAACATATTTACTGATACTGAAAGTTGTGTTTAATGCTGAGTATTTTTCAGAAGTTCATTCGGTTTGATGCATATTGTTCTTTGGTTTTTGTTTTCCTGCCTGAAGTGTCAAAAGACCTAAAAGAAGCCAAATTCTATTTTAACATGATGATGTCGAGCACTTTTTTATTTGTATATGTGTGTGTATGTGTGTTTGAGCACTGATCTCTAGAGTTTGGTGGCATCTCCGTGTTGTGATTTCATTGCCAATGTAAAAGGTTCTGGTGTTGCCCATTCATTTCTGGAGACAGAATTCAACCAAATAAAGTGCTTCCATTTGAAAGCGAATATTGACCTTGTAACAGTGAAAGGAAAGTCATCCACATATTTAAATAAACATCTAATTCCAGAAACAGTTGCACTGGACCCTTTTGATCATCCAGAGAGAAAGAGAAATGGTTTTGTCTCTCCCCTTTCCCCATGAAGAAGGCAACGCCTCTTTGCTGGGGCTGCTCCCATGTGTTGGGGTGCTCCGGCCATTGCTCCCAGTGAGCTTCCTGCAACCACTTCCAGTTGAACGGGAATTCAGTGGGGACTGATTCAGCCAGATGGAAATGTTACAGCCTGAAGCTCCCCATAGCTGCTCTCTTGCTCCTCGTTACTCCCCTTGACTGTGGGATGGATTTGGGTGTTGCTTCCAGCTGTAAAGTTAACAACAAAGGAGCAGAAGCAGCCTGGTTCAGTGGGGTGCTTGTGTCTGGCTGCTGCTGACGCGTGGTATCTGTTTACCCATGGTACTTGGTTTTTGTTTTGTTATTTCATATTCTCTCATACTGGAATTGTCAGATATTTGGAGCCTTTCTTCCTTTGGCTCTGCCTGTGTCTTTGGGTGACTGTCCCACGTAGCTGGGTCTCATCAGGTCACTTTGAGACACGATTTACTCGTGTTTTCATCTTTCCAGCTGGCACTGGAGACTGAAGTGGCTGCTGGGGTTTTATTTGGCCGTAGGAGAAGAACAGCGCACGGTGCTGGTTGGGGTTGGTGCTGTGCTTGGGAAGGTGGCTCTTGCTTTTTCCCTCCTCAGGTCATGAAACCTGGAAACTTGGGGAAAATATTTCCTGTGGCAGAGCTGTACCTTGCAATGCCCACAGTGAGCGCTCTGGGTTACCTGGAAGCCTTGGCACATGTTTTTACACCGATTGTTCAAATATTAAAACTAAACCTGGCACAGTCCTTGCAAATAATGCATTTGTGCAGGCATGTGTAGAATACAGCGATGTTCCCCTTCACTGAGCAGTCTGAAAACCAGGTGCATTTCTGTGCCCCTCCTAGGAATCAGGAGGATTTGCAGTTGTCCAGCTCATAGAAGGTGACACCTGGCTGAGAATTTCATTTCAAGCAGATACAAAGAGATTTTTTTCCGAAGGTCAGGTTGCTGGGGTTTTTTAACAGGATTTCAGTTCTTTGCCAGCACTAATTACCATCCCTGTCAATTCAGGACAAATCAGTGCTGTTCATGAAATACTCTGCTAGTTTTTGTGGTTTTGGTAAATAATGACTAGGAGGGGGTGGCTGCCTGGCTCTGACTTTGATTTATCTTAAACAGCATTAGCATTGCGAACTTTAAATATAAACAGCATGACCAAACGAGAGACTGAAGGCTGGAAAGGGATACCAAGCTGAGCAATAGCTGGGGAGAAAGTGAAAGGTTTACCTGTACTGTGCCACTGAACGTGTCGCTGGTGTGCAGGATGCTGTGTGCTCTGGCCGTCTGGGACTGGCACCAGGGGGTGACGGGGCAGGGCTGTGGGGTCTGTGTGCAGTTTGGGGGTCCTGCAGCACTGCAGGAAGAGCCATGTCCCCTTTCCACAGGCTGAGGTGTGATGTGTGCATTGTCAGGGGCAGACAGTGCAGAGTGCTTGTCCGTGTGTCACAGCTCTGGTCCGTCTGTCCGTGAGGCCACGGCATGGGAGGAGCCAATGGGAAACCAAACCCAGTACTGAGGGAGCAGATTAAAGAGCGAGGTGAGCTCTATCAGCCCAATGCATGAGCAGCTCTGCCATCTCCCCTTTTTCTGCAATCAACAAGGGACCTGATAAAACAAGGGCAGAATTAAAGTGATTTGCAACAAGAACTGGTAAGAGTTCAGCTACACAATCTGGTTTACACTGGCGATGGGTCCCAAAGCTCAGGGTGTGTGGGATGCATGCTCAGAAATACCAGAGCTATCAGCTGCGGGAGTCAGAGAAAGCAAGGCTGCGGTCAGATTTCAAATGAAATATAGATGCAGAACGAAGCTTTGAGTGTTTTAAGGGACAGAGGGTACCAAAAAGTACAATTATGGGATTGCCAGAGCAGCACTAGAGCCGTTTGTCTAGACACTGAATAATCCCTCCCCGGGGGAGGGTGTGTTCAGTCTCCTGGATTGCTGGGAGCTGCTCTGCAGTTGCTGAGGTGACGGCGTTTGTTTGCGAGATGCGAGTTTTGACGGTTGACTTCAAGTTGCTGAAGAACAAACTGCGCGTTCCTGGTGACCCAGCCCAAGCCCCGTTTCTTCGGGTATTTCACATTTCAGTAATGGTGTCATTCACTGCTCTGGCAGGAGCTGTTGGTGTCCGCAGCCCTCAGCCAGGGACAGCGCTCACATCACCTCCCTGCTTTGGCAGCTCCCCTAATTCGCGGTGGCAGAAGGTGCTGGCGCGAGCACCGCGTTTCCGGGGCCCCAGGAGCAAAGCTGCTCTCGCCTAAGTGTTAGCAGGGCAGTGGATTATATCGGTACTGACAGCTTTAACCATGCCCAGGCTGACAGAAAACACATCTGAAACCTACAACAGCTCAGGGAAACTTCAGCTGCTTCCCTTGCAAGTCACTTTCGTAGCAATGATGGCCATGAATACGTGGGCTTTCTGAGAACTCGGCTGAAATTGGACAAACGAAACACGAAGAGGAAGTCTTTGTAAGAAGCAGAGCAAAAGGAGCAGGCGCCCTCCTCTGAACGAGCGCAGGATCATTTATTGGGTGTGCACTACCAAAGCTCACTGCTGCTCGGAAGGATCTGTCACTGCAAAGCCTCGTGGCAGCAGTAACTTCGGACTGTTTTCATTTTGACATTAATTTTTATTCTTTCTTTACCAGCAGAAGCTCTCTGGAAGCTGTCAGAGCCACAGGCAGCAAGTCATGCAACTCGTTGAATGCACATGTATTTATTGTAACACATTTTCAGCACAAAGTATAACACTTAAGCACAGGAGTGTTAGGATCTGTACAGCATCCTCTGACCGGCACAGACAACACGGACATGCAGCCCTATGCGCTCTGCAGCAGATCTGAAGGCGGCTGCAGTGGCTCACAAAGACGGCTTAAAACGACGAGAAATGCCCCCAGTGGCTCAGTCTCTGCCCTCCCCTCGGGCCTGGCGGGTCTGTACATGTGTGACACTGACATGCTCAACCGTTTACAGATGCTTTTTTTAAAGAAGTTGTTGCTGTTTGCAACAAAACATTTGGTCTAAATAAAAAAAAAAAATCTGAAGGCCACATTTTTTTCATTCCAAATTCTCTTGTCCTTTGCCATTTTCTGTGTCTTAAGTCAGAGCTGCCTTTCCCTCCCTGCTCCTTCTTTTCCACGAGGTGCTCAGAGGTCCCAGCCCCAGGCTAAGCCTGGTACCACCAGACCTGGTGCCTTGGAGTCATTCGGTCCCAGCACCAGGACCACAGCCCCTGAGAGGCCACCTCCACCATGCTCTGTTTCCATTAAACTGCAGTGAAACACCAAGTCCCACAAGATTTCATTATTGCCTTCCTGGCTTATGAGAGGAATGAAGAGCTTTTCAGAACAGTCCCAGCGAGAAACGTAGTGTTTAGCCTTTTTTGTCCTCACCCCTCTCCACTGCCTGCTGTTGGATGCTCCGTGGCTGTTAGAGTCGTCGATTTGCCGAATCCTCGGCAGTAATCGGGGAGTGAGTTATTCCTGTTCATTAAATGAGCCACTGTGTACACAAATGACATCTGTGCTGAGAAGCTGGAATGGCCTCAGTGCACGGGTGGGGGCTTGTTTGCGGAAAGCAGCTCCTTCCTCAAAAGCTGCTCAGCCAGGCCCCGTCCCCAGCGCTGAATGACCACCTTGACCCAGGGTGACCCATCTGAACGGGCTCTGTGCGAACAAACGGGCTCCTGCTCATCCTTCAGCCCCGCTTTGCTTCTCGGGACAGATGTGAGGACAGATCTTGGCTTGGAAGGGTCAGAAGATGGGGTTATGAACCTCGAGTCCTAAATTCTGCATCAGAGCTGTCCTGTGTCCTGCACAACCACCCCTGTGATGTGACCACACAGTGGGCAGAGCTGCCAGGAGCTTCAGCGGAAAAGTACAGTGGGGAGCCATTGGGAAGGAGGACTCCTCTTCCAGCTTTGTTCTCTGAAACCGTGCTGGACACATGAAATCAGATACAGGGAGAAAAGAAAACGCCTGCAGGACTGTGAAGGTGCGGCTTTAGGGGCATGGGCTGAAAGAAACGGCCTCTTTCAAAATTTCTCATGTGATTGCAACTGAATTTGCAAGAATTAGATAAAGAGCAAAACTAGGACGTTGCGGCAGCTGTGCCCCACCAGCATAAAACTACCAGGAGACCTTGTGGCTTTAGTCAGCTTCAAATAAGAGGCTTCTCTACTGCAACACCGCCCGCTGGAGACACAAACAATGTTTCATGATCTTTGTACATCTGAGTTAAAAAGAAAAGTGCCAAAAGCAGAATCTGCAAAGGAGCAGAGGGGCTCAGTTCACTGGGGCAAGCTGGGAGTGCCGGTGTCTTGTAAGCAAAGAAAAGGGAGAGGGCTTGGGTCAGAACGCACCCCAGTGAGGTTTGGCTGCAGTCTTGTACCCCAGCTTCATTCAGAGGTGAAGGACAGAGAAGCTGCTTTCTCCCAGTCTTGCCCACCACCACCCTGGTATTCAAAGCCGCAGAAAGGACAGCAGAGGGACCCTGCCATCCCCAGAGCTGTGGTGGGAGCTGCACACACCTTTGAGTACCAGACAACAGCAGAGGTTTGACTCCTTGGGGTTCCCCAGCCCTCCATCCCCACACGGATGTCTGTGTGCCGTACCTTCCCCGTCCCACACAGGTCACACAGCTCGCGTCTCTGCTTCAATCTTCTGCTCCCCGTGGAGGTTTTCCAGCTCTTGGGCCTGGGCCACATTCTGTCTGATGGCGATCTCTGGGCCCCCTCCATACAGTGTGCTTAAATAAATCCATGTCTCCTCAGAAATCTGCCCGTAATCAGCACCTGAAAGGGACAACAGTGGTAATCAGATGTGCATCATGACATGAGGGTGTCCTCTTTTCAGCTGCCTCCCTCTGCTCACCCCCAGGAAACACGAGGCACGAGTGGTCCCCACAGCTGCACGGTCCAGACCCACCCAAGCCACAGCCACAGTGGTCCCCACTGGCCCTCTGCAGTGCCACCTGCTGCTGGAAGCCACCGGGGCTCCACGGCAGTGTCACCAGCCGCTGTGGGTCCTGCAGCACCCACCTCATCCTTTCCCAACAGCCCCCAGGCCCTGCCTGACCCCCTCTCACACACGCAGCGACTGAGCTCTGAGAGCCCAGGGACCCAAACCAGGCACTGGGACCCACCAGCCCCGGCAGCTGGGGCTGCACAGCACGCACAGGCCTTACCCTGCTTGACTTGCACGTGGCCGCCTGCTTTTGTGAGAGCAATCTTGCTGTTGTCAATTGGTCCGGGAGGCTCTGCAAGTGAACAGCCGTCAAAAACCACCCTGCTCTCCATGTTCCCCACCAGATTCAGCTCATTTCCTGAGCTATTTCGTTATTTCTGCCCAGCCCTTGGGGACCTGCCCACAGCCTGGCTGGTGCCTGAACTCCCAAGTCATAGTCGAGGGCAGCGGTCACTGAGGAGGTGCCCCTCGCACACAGATGTGTTCCCATTCTGCCTCTCACCCCCCCAGGCCCCAGAGCTCTCTGGCTCCTTACCGTTATCCTTCCCCTTGACAAAGGCTTCCCACTCGCGGAACCACTGCATGCTGATACAGTAGATGACGCTGGGAGACTCCTCGGCCTGGAAAGCCTTGTTCAGCTGGGAGAGCACAGAGCAGACAGGCAGGCAGGGTTTAGTCACTCCTGAGGTCTGGGGAAGCCCCTCCTGTTAACTGTAAGGCAGCCCCGCCATTCTTCAAAAGGACCTCTTGTACTCCCACTGCCTTCCTCACACCATGTTCCTGCTCACTACAGCAGACAGAGGCTAGGATGGTTGCAAACCTGGTGTCTGCATGTCACACACGCAGCGTTATTGTGCTCCAGGTGCCCCTCCCCATGCTGTTAGCGCTGGGGAACCCCTAGGTTGGTCTGGCCCTGCTGTAGATCACGATCTGGATAACAGGGGCAGGGGTTCTCCACTAACTGTGACACATCTCTCCTCCCCACCTCTGCCCTTTGCCGTTGCTTCCAGACGCTTCCCACACGAACCTTGATGAAGGTGTCGATTTCAATTCTCCTGCGTTTGGCCAGCGCTTCGATCTCCACTTGGCAAATGGAGCACACGTACAGGTGGTTCACAGCAGGGCCGCCCCCAAATCTGAGCCCAGAAAGAGAGGGAGGGGAATGGAGAACTGCAGGAGGTTGGAAATGCTTCCAGCCCCGAGTCCTGCAGAGGTGGATTTTACACCATTGGAGGTGGTGCAACTGCAGCCATGTCCTGAATGGAGAGCGCTGCCTTTACTCAGTGAGGGTCACACCATTGCTCTGGGACAGTCCATTGGTATCTCTCATTTTGGTTTAGATTGGGAGGGAGGCTCTACCAAATGCAAGTCTCTGCCAGTCCACAGCAAGTGCTGCACACCTCTGAGGTGGCCTGGGAAGGGATTGTCTCAGTCACTGCCTGAGGTGTGAAACGAAATACAAAACACATTGGGAAGAAGAATGAAATGGCCATATTCACCTGTTGTAGAGGTATTCCCACACGTTCTGGGGCAGGATCACAACCAGGTCATCGATGTAATGGTATTTATTGGGAGGGATCCCTGTGGAGGAAAGGCGAGTGTGAGAGTTAACCAGGGAATTCATTATTGCTGGGAAAAGACACGGATAAAAAAAGGCAGATCTTCCTTGCTGAAAACTCTGATTCCAGAATCTGCTTCCTCTGCGTATGGCAGACAGTCAAGAGCTCATTAACTGTGGATGCTTCTCAATTCACAGCCTCAATTTCTAATCAAGTGCTTTATTTCCAATCGGAGACTTGTAAACAGAGGGCTCCCCAGCATGACGGATGAAGGAGCAGAACAGCACAAGGTGGTATCAGCTCCCTTCAGCCGCACGTGCTCCATTCTCCAAACAAACACCGAAGGCCAACCTTGCTGATAGGGTAACACAGATAAATGCTGCCTTATCTGCTTTTACAGGTTCGTTTTTAAAAACAAAGGGAGAACTGAAAACTGCTGTTTCCCAGCACTACACAACCCTCCAGGCCTGTGAGCAGCAGGACAAGGCGATAATTGTCCCATCTCTCCCCGAGGGCTAGATAATGCCAAAGAAGGGGATCCTACACTGTATCAGGACTACAGCTGGAGCTTTTTAAGGTGTAGTGGAGTTGCTATTCCCAGGTCCAGCAGCACGGCCTTACCTCCATGAGAGCACAGAAAGGTGTGATTGGTGATGGGACCCGGCTCAGCAAAGGTGTTGAATTTATTGAGCCACTCTCGAGAGATGTAGAACTGGAGTAAACTGTGCTCCTTCATGCTGGCAAGGGACACAACCTTCTGACGCTCTCGCACAGCTTCTTCACTGCTTTTCCTTAAGGAGGAAAACATGAGAAAGTAAGCAATTCCTGAAAACTTATCCAAACCCATTTCTAGGTGTTCTGCACCAGCAAGGGCACAGCTCACCTGTAGAACAAGACATAGGCCTCTGCATTCTGCACCACGGTCTCATGGACTTCGGTGACGTACTGGTCGTCAAACTCGTACCACTGGCCGTTGATCACGTTCTGGCAGTAGGCTATGTAATGGCCACCTGGAACAGAGAAAACACAACACTGCTGGGATTCGGAGCCTGCCACAAGTCAGGCCTGGGATAACAGGATTAGCTGCTGGGGAAAAAAAAAAAGGCATAGTTCCTGTTTAGGCAAGTTTGCAGGAGCAGGGGTGCCTGGAAAATACCACCCTGATTTGCCTGCCTTGGAAAGGGCTTCTCAGTGAGAGCGATCATGGGGAAAGGGTTTGAGCCAACCCAGTGGTGAGGCTGAAGTAGCTGCAGGGGATGTACAGAACCTGCTGGCTCACTTCTCAAAGGGCAGAGGCTGAGCGAGCCTGGGAACGGAGGGGGCAGGCCTTAGGCTGCACTTCACCCAGAGCACTCTTCTGCTTTGCTCATACTCATCCCGTTCCTGTTCACCTCTGCCCGTACTCGCAGAAGAGGGACTTACTGCCCGCTGTGCCGTGGTGGCAGATGACCGACAGCAGATCGTAGGTGGTGATCTGGGAGACGCACTCCTTGGCTAGGAAAGGTCGCAGGTCCAGCCCCTCCAAGGGGAAGGAGACGTGGCTGTTGATCTTGAAGGAGTACATCACCTCGTGCCGGAACCGCTTCAAGTGGATGCAAAGAATCTAAAAGACCAAAGACAAAACACCAAAGCGCAGTTTTGCCGTGGGTATTCTGATCCAAAGGACATCTCTGTGCAGCTGATCTCTGCAAGAGTTCTTCGCTTGTCAGTGAGAGTCCTGCTGGCTCATCAGCTTAGATTGGGGAATTCTCTTCTGGTCTGGATACAGAACTTTGCCACCAAACCAAACTGCTATTTCTGTTCTAGCTCTACCCTCCTTACCTCCTCTGAGGCTGCTGAAAGAAAACTGTGAAACAAGGTGCTTGTTCTCACCTCTGGTAGCCGGAGGACTTTGCAGTATTTCACTCCATTCCGCAGTCTGAGGGAGAAAAAGAAACTCACTGTGAGAAATCTCTAAAGCAAAGGGATGCCAAAAGGCAAGGCTGGGTCCTGCTCACTTTGAAATCCAAGACAAATCCTGAATTCCAGCAGCAACAAGACCAGGCTTTTTGAAGCATCCTTCCCACATGAGGCACAGCACGAGCAGTTTGTTGTGCCTCTTCTTTCTGATACAACAGCTCCAGTACTGCTAAGCCACATCCCTGATCAGATCCCTTCTTCCCTTCTTTTCCCCCCAAAGCCAGCACTTTTCCTATCTGCGACCAGCGACCTCTCAGGACCAGAACTCTGGTACAAGGCAAGGCAGGTTTCACACGCCGCTCAGCAGAAGAAACGTCCAGGCAGAGGGCACAGCACAATGTTTGCCAGCAGAACAGAGAAATAAAGTTCCAGAAATACGACACGATACAGATAATGGAAACTTACTTTTTACACCGTTCACAACTGTACATGTTGTCCCCTGCAGACAAAGAGAAGAAAGCCGTGATGCAGTTACTCAGAGCACACAGTGCTGATATGACCACACTTCCATCCCATGCAGACAAACCAGGTTAAGCAACCTCTTGGGGAAGAGATCGAAACAGACACTGCCCTCAGGAAGTGCAGGCAAGAAGAGAATGCAGTCAATTAGCAGGAAAGTGTGCAATTGCCCACCAACACAAGTGAATACAGCAAATTGTTTGAGTCTTCTAGAGCTTCAGGAGTCAACGGAGAAAGCAAAGAAACTAAGACGGCTGAGGAGCCACAGCACACACAACCAACCAACAGCCACATCTGCCCCTTGCTGAGGACGCTCTCACCTGGATTTCCTACCCCGAGCAGGTGGGAAAACTCACTTCTGCTCAGATGCTGAACTGCCGACTTCTGGTACTGCCAGTGTCTGAGTGAAACACTGAGGCAGGAATTCCAGATTTAATCTGACCCCAAAATGCACATGAAATACTCCTCCGTGTGCTTTTCCTTGTTTTGTGCTGTCAGACCCCACTGAAGAGAACTCACCCTTCAACTCATCTGCTGCAAAAAAGGCAGCAAGGCAGTCCTCCAGCGTCACAACAGGACCCCAAAACCAGCTAGGGATACAGGACACCACAAACCTGCAGAAGAGAGGGGATTAGGAGTTATATATAAAATAGCTGGATGCTTTGGTGTACAAAACCCCAAATGAAGGATGGGTTCCTTCTAGCTGTAGGTCCTAAGCTCATCACACATCCCAGAGGAGCAGGGAAAGCCTGATTTTTCTCAGCTGATGTTCCTACTGTCACTGCTCAAACTGGAAATTATTGGGAAAACTACACCAGGAATTAATTTACTCTGGAGGGCCAGACTGAGCTGAAGGCAGAAGTGAGGGGTTATCAGCTGCACAAGAGATCTCAAGGTGCAGGACAGAACTAGAGGATCAGTAGCAACTGGTTTACATGAAAAGGCTCAAAGACCTGAGGTACCCCATGCTGTCATCCACAGATGGTTACAACTGATGTTCTGCTGTAACCACCACTGCTTTAGGGATCGCTGCCTTCCAGCACCGCAGGGCAAACCCCAGAAAAAAGAAGTCGTGCACAGGGAACGCACCTCCGGATATACTCCATGATGAAAGCGATCCAGCCTTGCGAGGCGTAGTTGTCCCCACATGTCCCTGTCTTAGCTGGCACGTTTTGGTAGATGGCAGAGTGCAGCTTGGCCAAGTCCTCCTTCCCTGGGATCGGGAGCGACAGGTCCTGGAACGTCTCCACTGTTGTAGAAACCTGGAAATAGCCAAGAAGAGGAGGTCTGGGTTTCCTGTGCATGTAATGGAGCTGGGACCTTCATGAAATTTACCACTGCTCAGATTGTGTCTAGGCTAAAACCTGAGCTGGCAGCACGAGCAACTCGCTCTGGTTAACTATTCTTCACTGCTGTCAGCAAGATGGCTTTTGTCGTGGTGGTTGTAGCACTGCAATCACTTTTCTAATCTGAATGTGACGTTGCTAGGCCAACTCAGTAACACAGATAAGCAGAGCCCTACAGGGGAATATGATTTCTTGGCAAGGCAGGTTCCTCACACCTCTCCTTCCATCCACCTATCATCATTTCTGCCGCATCCCGCAGTGTTTGGAAATGGGAGCACCATTTCCTAAGGAGAGCTCCCCAAGCTGTGAAGACCGACAGCCACCAGAGGACTCACTCTGTCGCAGGTGAGGCACTGCACCAGGCTGAGAATGGAGCCATCGAAGATGTCCGAAATCACACTGCGGTAACGAAGCTCTTTCTTCTTTTTCCCAGAAGCCTGCATCTGGGCTGAAAGACAGACAAGGAAGCCCCATCGTGTAGCAACTCCTTCCCAGTCTCCTGTCCCAGTGGAGTCACGCAGCCGCACAAGGACACAGGACAAGTGCTGCCCTGCATGTTCAGATGCCACTTGCACACCAGTGGACAGCAGAGCCCATTGTAAGCTGACGTGGAGCACTGCTGCTTCGCGTGGTACAGTACAGGGGAGGCAGCCAACTGAACCAACACAAACGTGCCAGCTCTCAGCAGGCAGAAATTGTCTTACTGGAAATCCTGTTTCCATCCTCTTACTGCACATTTAGAAGCCTGGCCCTGCCACTGACAGTCCCTGCTTTTCTGAGGTCTTGCAGCATTTTGCTCCAAGCTTTACACTTTGTTTCCTCTCCCCCCTCACCTGCCTGTGTACTTTGTCCTTTCCTTCTTTCCCTCTGACATGTACCATGTGTTCCCCAGGTGTCTTGCACAGGAGAGGACTCTCCACAGCAGGGACTGGCCAAACACGCAGTTTTGTTTAATAACAAACCCCCTTCCCCACACACACATGCATGGAGACAAGGGGCTTTTTATGCAGCCAGAACATCTGTGGCTCTGCTGACCTTGGCCAAGGGGCTGGGACAGAGTTGAGCAAAGAATGCCATTACCAAACAGCTGTGGTGGTACAGCAATGCCATTGTGCTTGCAGACTGTGCAATGCTGAGGGATTTCGAGTTGCAATTTGCTTGGGATGAAGAGGCCAGTTTGATAACAACAGAAGCCAGGCTCCACTCTGACGCATAACAACGGTCCCAGCACTGGACTGACATCTGCAGCCTTAATTCTGTTGTTGTGAGCCCAAGATGTCCAGGAGGCAGGAAGCTCTCTCTCGCTAACATCATCTTACAGTTCTCTGGCTCACATGCTGTGAAATTCAAGTCTGGCAGACAAATGTTTACACATCTCCACACTCCCCTAAAGGGACTGAGCTTGTGCCTGGGACTTCATAGCCATTTTATTAATAAGAAACACAGCACGTAGATGCAGGCATGGAAATAATTTCAGGCTCCAAGATAAGAGCATACTAGAACATCTGTTGGGCCCAGAGTGACTACAGGCAGGTCATCTGTTAAGACTTTACCTGCAGGTTTACTGCAGTCTTTGCCTAATACTATTTTAGAAAGCACTGATGTCCAGGGGAATCAGCGCTTCTTCCAAAAGTTAATCAAGGATCATGATGGATTCTTTCTCTCTTCTGTAAATGAACCCCCATGCACTTCACCTCCCAGCACACACTCTTTGCATACCTTTCTTGAGGACGTAGGAAGGTCCGAGCCTGGCAGGACTGGAGCGAGGAGGACTGCTGGAGAGCTTGGAGTGCATTTCATGGTGGACGGGACTGCAGGGGCGCGAGGAGCAGCGCACGTAGGCATCGTTGTCAGGTTCTGTTTGGGAAAATGGGGAGGGAGAAAAGCACTGGTAAAAAACCCAGTTATGAAAGGCAATGCTATTGCAGTCAGTGTCAGCTCTACATTCCTGGATCTTTCCCAGTACGCACGGTTCAGTGCCTATTAACTGTTCTGCTTGCACAGGCTGGCGGATACAGCTCCCTCAGTGCATGGGTAAGAGTGCATACAGAGCTGTACGGAACAGCTAATAATTACATATCAAAAAACAACCCCGCCATTTTTTCACACTTATGACTAATTAGGTTTTGCAGCTTGCTCCTATATCCCTAATCCACATAAACAGCACTGCTGCCTTCAGCGCCAGTTGGCAGCGTAAGACTCTTACATAAAGAAGTGTTGAAAGATCGGATATGCTCAGTCTGAGGTGACTCCACACCTACGTCTTAACTGCTGCTCTTTTCCCCGAGACACAGAAATGCACAAACTGTGCCTCTCCCTTTTCTCTCCACAAAGCCCACAGTCCAACACTAACAAATACCTCCTTCCACGCCTTTTCCGTAGCTAATATTTCCCCAGGCAGGCCTGTCAGATAAAGTACTGTAAACATGCAAACCCCCTTTTTGTTTTTAATTAGGAAAAGGCATAAACACAGTGTTTTGGCCAAGGCAGCTATCACTGCTTTCAAGACACAGCCTTCACTCAGCTTCATAGCACTTCGGCCCAGCTAAGCACCTCTCTGGCTCACGTGTTAACATTTTCTTGCAGAAGCAATTGTGGCAAAACTACTGCCAGGACACTGAGGAAAATCTTGGCTGCAAAATCTCTTGAGACCCATAGAAGGAACAGTCACATTATGTGCTGTTTGCCACTGCACTACAACACTGTCCCTGTGTGGGATAACATCTTCTCACAACTAGACTGGAGGTGTGTACCTGGTGTCCGACACGGGCTGGCAGGACGGGGAGCTGGCAGCATCTCCGGTGAGGCTCTGCCATCAACCGGCATCATGGTAGTGTCAACATCTGCATCCTCATCCACCTGCTCCGAGTTGCTGCGCCGATGGCCGCAGGAGAACTTCCTGTCCTTCATCCTCTCCTTCTCGGAGATCCCTCTCCCTGCTTCATCCGGGATCAACAGCTCTGTCTCTGCCAGGGAGCTGCTGCCCATGCCCGCTGTGGTCCGGCTCTGACCATCTTCCCCCCTGTCACTGCTGGAGTCACAGGAGAGGAACTCGTCCTCCGAAGGACTTCGGTCACCCTCTCGCTTGTCGTCCTGGTCATTGGTATCCAAATCCCTCGTCTCTGCTACAACTGGTTCCTTCAGCTCTTCGTGAAGCTGATCCATCAGGCACCGCAGGAACTCCTGAGTGTCCTGAAAACCAGAAGCAGTTCCATGTCAGTATCCAAAAATGGGGCAAATGAGAAGGGCAAAAGAGGAGACTCCATTCACAGCCTCTTTCAATGCTGCCCACAAGGGTTAGCCACCTCTGCAACACAAGGAGACCCTACTAAAGCTGAGTACTGTGGAGATGTACCAAGAAGCCTGTCTGCTACATAAATGTTTTTAACTTCTAAATGATAAAAGGGCCAATGTTTATCTGAACATCATCAGCCGAAAGACACTGAAAAGCCAGAGCACGGCCACAGCATGCAAACCATGAGCACATTTATCAAGAGGTACCACTGATAAGAGGAGAAAGACAAGGAGGAGCCTAATGAAGACAGCAGGCCACAGAGAACAGACTCTTACCCACAGAACGAATCTAACGAACACTGACTTCTGCTCATGGCAATCCCTCTCTTAAATAGGGCAGATTAAAATCTTTAATAAGTAGGGAATGGGACCAGAAACCAAAGACTATACAGTCAAAATGCAAGCTCCCGCATTCATAATACATGGTAAAAGAGCTGATGCTTTGGCTTCAAAAGACCTGCTGGAAAGTAACTTCATGTTTTGACAGCTCCAGAAAGCTAATTATGATGTTTCTGTTATTTTAGGGAAGTTTGGCTTTTAGCCTGCCCTGTCTTCCTTTCAACTTTATCTCTTTACAGCTAAGCGTTTTCCAGTCCAACGTACTTCACATCAAAGATGAAGAAGTTCTTTCATTAATCATTATTTTTATCCTTTGTTTTGATTTCCTGTCACTATCACAGTTTAGATGTACTGTCACCTCTCTTGTAAAATTTCTAATCATAGTTTGATGTTTACATTTTACTCTGAAGAATAAACACAAGATAAAAACTTCAAAGACAATAAAGGATACTATCTTTAAATAAGATTTAGTTTGCTGTAATTCCCTAGAAAAAGAATACAGAACATTCATATATTTAACTTTTTAGGACAGATTTATCCAGGTTTGCCAGCTCTGACATGAATAAATAATACCTAACCCTCATACAGAATGTATCAGTAGATCTCAAAGCTCTTTGTAAAGGAGGTGATCATCCCAACGGCAGAGGTGAGAGAGCTGACACAGGAAAATGCATGGATTTGGTACCAGCAAATGAGAGGCAGAGCCTGGCAGAGAACCCAGGGCTCTTCAGTCCCACCTGAGTGCTCTGTCAGCAATACTGACACAAAATGGGCATAACCCCTGAACTCAGGCTCTGAACCCAAGCACCGCCACTGCAGGAAGAAAAATCCCCCATCTTTGGAATATCGGTGTGTTTGTGTGGAGGCCCCACCTGCTGTGCATAGCCTCGGAACATGGGGTTGACGAGTTTAATTCCGTGGGAGAGGCTGCTGGGAACAACGTAACTCGGGCTGTGCGGATACAGGAAAAAAACATGAAGTAGTTAGTTTGCTTACCAGGCCTGGAGCCAGTTTGTGTAATAAGCCAGAGCACAGGGTGTGGTTACCAGTTAAAGAGGACAAAAGATAATTAATGCACCTGCAAAGCCTGAGCATATATTTGTCTATTAGCTGGGTGACACACGAATCAAGAGACAGAAAACGTCTCTCAGTCATTTCAGTCTGTCCTGTCAGAGAGAATCTGCCCTGGAGCACATTTAACTTCAAGCTCTGTCCATGCTTTGATTCTTGCCAGAGCAGGGTTTTGTGATCAGTGACTTGGCTTGATTTTGCAGCACCACGTGTGTCTCGAAATCTGGGTGGGCTGGCCACACAGTACACAAGGTAAATCAAAAGCAATATTAAAATGACATCGTAGTGGTTCAAAGTCTACAGTCTTCTCTTCAGAAAGACAGCTCACTTGTGCTCTGTATCTTACTTAGCCCTTTTTAGCAACTAACACAAAACGAACATGCAGTGCCATTTAGATTCTAGTTTGATTTTTTCCAACTGCTTGCACAGAGCAGACATCTTCAGATTTAGGCAGGGCTGCATTACTTACACTGTCCTTTGAACTGGTCTAGAATTTGAACTGATAGCAAACATTTCCCAAAACATCACCTGCATTCTCCACTCTCTTTGGTAAAAATCTCTGTATCAGTTTTCCCATCCAAATCATCAGTCCCTGTGCTAATCAAGAGCAGTGCGATTAAGTGCTGGTCACTCCATGCAGAATACTCAGAAACAGCCATGAGTATTCCCTTCCTCCACCATTTTTTCTTCATTGCCAACAGGGAAGCTATATTAAAAAATATCTTCCTTTAAAAAAATGACATTATTAAGAATGTATTATTTTCACTGACATCAACATGGATATTTTATCACCAGTAGCAGGATATGGGATTTCATCAATATGGGAGAACCCTCGCATACCCATCTACGTAGGCTTTGAACTGTCTGCCTTAGACAATGCACTTATCTCTGAAAATTAAATTTCCTCTTTGCTGATGCCAGACTTCAGAACCAACATAAGCACGAAACCCGTTCAGATTAGATTAGGCAGTGACCACTCACCGTTTCTTATGCCAAACCTCAGACACCAACTTCTGGTAACTTTTGCACAGTGCTGGTTTCTTATCCGTACGGACCAGTCCACCACACTCCAGAAAAAACTGTGTGAGAGGCGGGCTGCAAGAAAAGAGAATCATTCAGTGCATAGAAATTTCTGCTCTGCTTCTATTTAAGGGCTTATCAAAACCTAAATGCATGCCTTTTGGAAAACAGGCTGAAGGTACTGGTTTGGAATCGGGAGAAGTGATTCCAGATGCAGACTTGACTCCTAACTTGAAACAAATGAAAAAGGCTGATCTGAATCTGTTCCCAGTACAGAGAAGAGATCCTGAAATTACTTCTCAGCAGGATGGCTAGAGAATATTTTAGGATATAGTTTGTTAGAATGGCATCACTGGGGAGAATAAAGAGATGTGACATGCCTGCCCATGCGGTAAACAGATTTCTGTCACATTAGAAATGATGAAGTTTTACTTCGAGCACTCACGCAAACACAAGTCCCGTCCATAGCCACAGGTTGGCTATTCGCTCTGTTTCCTACTGGTAAACTTCTGTAGCCCTAAACAAGCACTAAGTTTTCTGCACCTCATCTGGCTGATTTATCTTTGCATGACTCATAAAGGTCTCGGAGCAGCGGTGCCATCTCCGATATTTCGCGAAGTCCAGTAAAGACTCTACTGCAAGGCCCTAATGCCTACCAGTTAGAGAGAGCCTGAAGTGCTGCATTCATGTAGCAGGAGTTCCCAAGATTTTTCATTCCAGTAAGGCCTAAAGCACAAACAAGAGAGGCATGAAACACTTTCCAGAAGTGCTGTGTTCTACATTCCTCCCCAAAGGAGAGGGAATTCAGCCCTTTCCAGGCAGTCTCCATACTCTGCTCCCAGGAACCTCTCAGTGCAGGTCCTACAGTTTGCAGATTTGCCCTCACAGCCCTTTCCTCAGCTCCATGCAGAGTTACCTCTTGGTTTCAAATCATCGTCCTCTGATTCAGATTCGCCTTCATCAGCCACTGCAATTGGAACAGCTTTCAGAGGGTGAGCAGGCAATGGAGAATCCTAGATTAGAGACAGAGAAATAAGCAGCAGTGCTTATAAGCCTGCAATAAAAGATGAGTTGTGAGAGATATTATCTTTCACATAAATTGAGCCACCAGACTTTAAAAAAAAACCACTTTGAAGAGAGAATAACCAGTTGCGCTGTCTACCCTTCTCATTAGTGCAAGGAGGGAGTGAAAATAGTGCCATTACTGCTTCCAGTGCACAAGATAAGAGAGGCATCAGGAATACGCAGCAGTGCCACAAGTACGTGTGTTTCGGGTCTGACAGCTAAAATTTCCATGAGCTGCACACTGAAAGTGAAGATGTGACAGCTGTTGTGGTTCCTCCCAGAAACAGACGCCTCGTGGAAGAGGCTAGGAAAGGTTAAAAATAATGGATAAAATAGAATGGATATTCAAGTTATCTGGAAATCTTCTTGCTGGGAGATCCTATAAGGCAAGGCTGCGGGTCCTCTGGCCACAGGCAGCCACTTTCAGCGGAAGAGGTCCTATCGCAAGAAAAGCCTGGACCATAATGGAAATCTCTTGGCTAATTTTGCAGCAGGTAAACAAAAACCCTGCCAAGCATTCAGCCCTGCCACCTGTGCCACCAACCCACCGGTTCAGTGAACTTCACTGGCGGGGACTGGGTGTGCGTTGCCAGCCGCTGGTCCAGGAACACCTCCTTTTCGCACGCGTAACACCAGACGCGGAACGTGGTCAGATTCACCGTCAGGTTGTGCTTTTTGGCCTAGAAATGAAAAGGTGAAATAATGAATCTCATTGGACAGCTGGCTCAAGTTGAAACACTGGATTACCAGAACTGGGTAGAGAAGGGTCAGGTAATGGGAAAAACCCAACTCTCTTAAGATGGACAAGAGAGAAAAGCTCACCTGTGCATGAAGGGTGCTGTGGTCAGCAAAGGACTCCCCACAGCCAACATACGGACAACCAATCTGGTGACAGGAAAGAGCAAAAGTACAGTGAGCCCATCAAATCAGAGCCTTCACAAAACAGTCTGCAACTCCAGTCTCACCAGCAGCTGCAACTTCAGGATTGATCTTGCCAGTTTTCTAACCTGCTTTTTAGTCAGGGCCCAGGATAAGATGGAAAATTGGGATGGACTGATTTAAGAAAGAAAACCTGGAATCAGGTTTTCACTCACATAAAGGCTCTGTTCCAAGACAACAGCTCCAATGGGCAGCTCATTTGAGCCGTCTCAAAATGTCTGGGCATTCCAGTGTAAAAATAAACCGCCCCTGCCCGCCCGCATGCCCTCGTCACTCCTTTCCCCCTCGCTGCCCTGAGCAACGTCTCCCGAGGCCTCACACCCTTCACAGTCGCCAGCAGACGCAGGACCCAGCCACCAGTCAGTGCTGGGCATTTCATTCATTCCTACTGGGACTACCAGGGGCAATCACCCATGAGCAGTGAACTGTTACCTCCCGGCATATTCCAACAGCGTTAGCATTTAATCTAGGGAGTCTTTTCCCTGGCATCGATCAAAAAACAGTCGATAGTTCTACTGTGAACTCCCTCTTCGATTCCCACTCTCTTTCTTTTTTTCAGTACAATTCTTTTTAAAAAAATTACATTAAAGAGAAGTCCCGCCATATCATGCACACAAATAGCAAGCCATTTTTACCTGAAGACAAGCCCAGAGATTTGGTCCCACAGCTCCACAAGACTGGCAAGTTCCCTGCATATTCATGACAAAAGAAGGTTTGTTTGCTTGGTTGGTTTTTAAGTAACCTAGTCCTTCCCGAGGGGGAAACTCCTCTAGAAAACAGGCCTTGCCAACCTGCAGCTCACAGCATTTCATTTCTTACTATCAGATTTCCAACTAAATACATGCTTTGCAGCATTTTAGCTAAGTGACACACTTGAGCAGGATAAAATGTCAGAGAGAAACAGATCAGATGGGGTTGGCAAAGGCTGACTTTATGGGATACGTGCAGGGTACATCAGCATTGGAAGAAGGGCTTCTGCCTCTCCTCTATGGAGACAGGCAGTGTTTTCTTTAAGAAAGCAAGCATGCAAACCCATGCACAATGGCTAACAGGGAAAGGACAGACAACCAGACCACCCCATACCTTGGATTTGAGCAGCAGATCATCCCGGGTCACCTCTCCTATGGAATCCAGGTGAGGGCAGATGTCTCTTGTGTCCCCCATTTTCACCAACGCTCACCTGCAGGAGGTGTTTTCCTAGGACAAGAAAGGGCAGTTCCTTTCATTACATGTCAGGTTTGCTCACAGATTGTAAGAAGGTAAATTAGCTTGTTTTGTACATTAGAGATGATGATATCCATCTTCAAGGTTCAGAGATCAAAACAAACAAATCTGGAGCCAGTGATACGAGCGAGCCCAGTTCTGAGCCATTGTTGGGCGGCTGCATTGTGGTATCGCTGGTGAGCAAGGAAGGCAGCGGGGAGGAGAGGGAAACACGAAGAAAGCTCATAATCTGTGCAGTGAGGCAGTGTGCTCAGCACAGCTGCTGGCTCGGTGTCAGGTATGGGGATGGATTTGCTGTAGCCTCAAAAGTAAACAGCAGTACAGTAACCTACCAACCACCGCTTCTTAAAACTCCCAGACCGGATCACGTAGCATCTCTGAACGATGCAGAGGCCTACAGCAATAAATTAAAACTCCCATTTACTCATACGTGCTTTACACACATCACTGGTGCTGTATACCAGGAATACTCTACTCCATGAACCCGCCTCGACTGCCAAGCTACACTTCCCCCTCAGAAACCTGGGTGTTCTGTGCTAGCTCTGCAGGTAGGGTGGGAAACCAAAATACGGTGATGTGAACCGACTTCCTCTTGCCAAACACGCAGCATGGAGAGATACAAATCTAATTAGCTTGTCTGCATGAAACTTAGATTAAAAGTGAAAGGGTGCTGCAGCCCAAGACACCCGTATTTAGCCTGTGGTGTCTGGGGGCTTCATACTGTGCTGGTCTGAACCTAACATGTAGGTATTATAGTACTTTATCAAACCTTAAAAATATGATTACTGTAGTAAATCAAGCTGGGCAAGAGGGAATTAGACTTAAATGATCTGTACCACAGATAACCAGTCTTCAGTCTCTGAGGAATTTCATAGATTTTCAACAATACGAGCCACAGAACTCTGACTGTACGACATGGAGCACTCTGTTCCACCCAGCTCATACATCCCAGTGCCCCAAGTACAGAGGATTTCATAGCTGCACGCTTACGAGCACAATAAACACTTTCATGGTGGTCCACGGGTATGTGAAAGACTTTAAACATGTCTTGGTAACACACAGCCATAAAAAATAATATGAAAAGAGTTTGTGTTTCTTAAGCATAGTTTAAGTAACCTCACTTGTGGCTGCTTAAAAGAAAAAAAAATAAAGACAAGTGATATCAACAACACAGACCAGGATTCAAAATATTACGATTGGCTGGAAATGAAGCAGACATGAAAAGCCCACGTCATTACAAAAAAGAAGTGGAAAAATCTGGTGAACTGGGAGCTGACAGCTCCAGCAGCACGGTTGCTACACTCTGCGGTTTTCACATTTTGAGGACATTTGAAAGAATTCCCAGTGTTATCTGGTCTGAATCACTGGCAGTGGGAAGAGGAGAAAAAAGAAGGATAGACGAGTAAGCCACATCAGCAACACCTATCCTGGGAGCTGCAAAGCTTGCCTAGCACCTTGCCTTGGCAGAAGAAAACCTCAAGGATAATTTTATAACGACGTTTTTTTCAGCACTCTTTGGAACTGAATAATCTGAAGTGCAGGGGCAAAGCAAAACTGGAGGGGGAAGAAATCGTATTTGCATGCTAGAAAACACAACAGTGATTGTAATCAGGATCTCGAGAACCTGTGAAGAGATGCTTAACAACAGCTGAGCAATTTCATGCAGCTTCACAGAGAAGCAAAATAGTGTCGTGTAATGCACGTTCATTTAAGACAAGTGACAAGAGCGCAGTATCTCTGACTAACACCTAAAACTGGGACATTTTCAGGCTCCGAGTCCCTTCATCAAAACCACCCCCTCTTCCCAAATGCATCACCTGGTCCAATGAAAAAACAAAACAAACCCAAACCAAACAGAGCAATGCCGTGTTTGCTATTTCACCTTCCTTGATTTCTTATCCCTTTCCCAGAAAACCTAATAAATAAAACATTGTTTTTAAATTAACTCCAGACCCCTTAATCTTCAGCTTCAGCTAACTGGGAACCGGTTTTGGAGCACACTGTATTCAGTGCAGTGTGGATGTGGCTGGTTTTAGCCCATTCTGTGGGACCACCCCTCTACTCAAAATTACAACTGTGCCTTTCAACTTTCCAGCACCGAGATGCTGATCTGCCCACCTAGGGCTTCCCTTTTTGAACAAACCAGGGAAAAACTCATTTTCACCTCTCAGCCCTGCCTGGAAGCACCAGAAAAGATCCGAGTCATAACTGTTCAGATGGAGGTACTCGATCCCCGCCTTCCAAAAACCCAGCCCTGCCTGAAACCACCAGAAAAGATCCGAGTCATAACTGTTCAGATGGAGGTACTCGATCCCCGCCTTCCAAAAACTCTGCCCAGAGAGCTTTAGCTGGCACGCACAGCTCTCCAACGCTGCTCAGGAAACCAGGAATTGAATAAAAGCACTGCAAGAAAGCTTAACTGTGCTTGACAAAAAGTACTGCGTGTGATGGGAAAAAAAGTTACCTCAAAACAAGTCCTCCAGCCTGTCTTTCTCAAGCACCACAGTACACGAACATGTCAGAACAATTCCACTGGAACTGCAACCTACTTTCAGTTGCTTAAATTGCTGCCAAACTCACTGCCTCTGCCTTCCACAGTAACACGGTTCTCAGGCTTTGGTTTTGGGTTTTTTTTTTGCTTAAAACAACAGCGTGGTTTTGTACCAAAGCTAGAGCCAGCTGTCAAGAATTTCAGACAGATGCAGATTCACCGTCTGCAGGGCAACTGCTTGTTCAAGTGAAAGAAACCCGAGCACTGTTCAGCTGCAAAACAAGTACCAGGTCTGCTCGCTCATCTTGCATAACCTGCCAAGATAAATGAGGATCTGCAGCTGATCTTAGCGGCATTTCACACGCCAGGTAATGAAGAAAGAAAGATTTACTGAACTGCCCTACTGACAAGGAAGAACCAAAAACCAGCTGCTTTGGACTCTGAGCTGAACGTTTGCATCACGTACTGGAGAGGCGTTTTATGTAGAACAGGCAAAGGAGACCAGGTTTTAACACAGATTTATTACTGGAGGTCACAATACGACGGCACACGTAGAGATTTAGCTTTTAAGAAAAAAAAGCTCCTTCGGGAACACCCCCTCGCCCTGCTACGTCGCTCCTTAAGCGCAGCAAACCCCCAAATTACAAGTCCTCTCCTAAGAGGCACTACAACTGTTACGCACGAGTGAAGTTTGATGTAAATATCTCTGCACACCCCCGGACT